TGAAACTTGCAGGATAGATCCCTAATGGACCCTTCAACACATTGCAATTCCTTTTCTGGATGGATGGAAACTTCAAAGGAATTTCTGCCTTGGTTGGAGAAAAGTCAATTTTTGATCAAATTTCACTAAAAAGCAAGGTTTAACCCCTTGCATTTTTGTCAATTTTGGCCAAAAAATGAAATTGCTTGAAACTTGCTAGAAAGATGTCTGAGGGGCCCTAGAACACATTCCAACTCCATCTAAGGACAAAAGTGATCTTCATAAGCAAAATGGCACCGAAAATATGGTGTGAAATCAGTCAAAAATATTTAATTTATTTTCAAAAATTTATATTCAAAGATTTTTGCCCAAATCTTCAAAATTTTGGGGTGTTTGAATATAAATTGATGCTTTTGCTGCACTCAAATGAACTTCTGCCTTGTTTAGAGAAATATTAATTTTTGGCCATATTATGATTAAAATGTAAGGTTAACCCCTTGCATTTTTTTGTCAATTTTGGCCAAAAAATGAAATTGCTTGAAACTTGCTAGAAACATGTCTGAGGGGCCCTTGAACACATTCTAACTGCATGCTCCCATGCATACAAGCACTGCGCAATCAATCTTCCCCGCCGTTCGTTTCCGGCAGTGTGATGTTCAGGCAGTGCAATTTCCACTCACATACTCTTTAAATTTGCAACTTTTCAGACTTCATCATTTTTTTTAAAGTTGTCAATTTTGGATGATTTACAGTCTTTGGTAGCAAAGGTGGTATCAAAATGTAGCTAACAACATTTCCCAAAGGTCTATATAAATGACATCATCATAAGACGATCAAGATTCAAAATTATGACCCCTATAATGTGGAGGACTTTTTTTTTTGTGGTGTTTAGTTGAACAGGTCTCAACTCTAGCGACATTTAATGACATCAAATTCGCTTTGCCTTTAAATGAAGTTATGAACTAGTCTTAAAATGGGGCATGCAAATTTGCAAGCCCTGTGTATTAGAAACGGTGGCCTGACCTGACGAACCCTGGAACCAATCTTGCCAAAACTCTTGGTGGTTTTCACGGATCTCGGAGGCTAAGGATTCTTAATTCCTTGCAAATGTCAAATATTGCTTGTTGACCTTATCAATTAACAGTTGGGCAAGCATTAAATTACATTCAAATAAACAGCACCTTTAGAATTTGTGAAATAACAACTGATAAAATATATGGAACATGCATATCAACAATTCTAACAATTTTAAAAAATCATCGCATTTGATCCAATATGTACACGAGTTCGAACATTATTATACAAATTTCTATAAAAAAATAAAACAGCAGTTTAAACAGGCAATTTATGCAACATCAGGAAAAAAAGATATTACAAATGCATGAAATGTTCAACTGGAAGATTTGTCCGTAAAAAATGATTCATCAATTTGTACAAATGTTAAATTTTTTCCGTAAAGAAATTTTTTTTTTTTTTTAAAGCTGAATGGTGACTATTCACTGGTGGGTTATTGTGTACAAGGCACAGTGTAAGTTCAGTGAACTTACAACTAATTGTTGATTATTGAGATACGTGAACCTTACGCCTGTACTATAGGCTTGTGCGGTATTGAAAATGGAGTGTCCACGGTATATATCGTCACAAACATACAGCGATATTCGGTATTACCGGGTACTTTTCTAGGCAAACTGTTATGTCATCCAAATAAGATCAGAAATTAGTGATAGAGAAACCACAAACGGATGGCATCAACAGAACCTCCACAGCCCTAATGGATGGCCAGGAGGCAGAAGTTTCGGTTGTAAGTCCAGTTCCCCAATGTTCGTCTTATGTTTATGGAATTTAAACAATTATTCATATAGTTTAGATCTAGCCAAGTTTTTTTTCTTTGAAAGCCTTCTGTTAAAGGGCTTTTGCACCCATCTGACCACATTTTAAAGGGAATACTGCAGTATTGAAATTCAACACCGAGTTGAATTTGTCTATATTCCAGTAGTTTAACATCATTTATAATTGTTTGGTATAAAAAGTATTGTCATTTATACAAGGCATGAGAATGAATTTCAATGAAAAAAAACCCCAGGAAACTTGTGAATAAAAAAACAGGAAAAACAGATGTGAAATCAGGCAAAAAAGCCCCAAAACAGGCTCAAAATAAATAAAAACGCGGAAATTAGGGCCACCAAGAAAACAGAAGTTCCTGTTTAAACAGAAAGATTCTTATGCCTGCATTACATGTACATGGAGTGTCATGGCCTAGCGGTTAAGAGCACCAGACTCATGCTCTGGTGTTTCAGAGGCAACAGTGGCGTGGGTTCAAGCCCGGGCCTGGACACTTGTGCCCTTGAGCAAGGCACTTAACCATTATTGCTTCGTCTTTCGGATGGGACGCAAAGCCGTAGGTCCCGTGTGTTGTATAAGGCCTAACGCACGTAAAAGAACCCAGTTACACTTCTCGCTAAGAGAAGGGGTTTGCCCCGGTGTTTCTGGCCTCCTAGCTATACTCCCTTATGGAAGTCCTTAGGAGAAGAACCAAGTACCAAGTAAGTACCAAGTACATGTTATTACCAAATTAATGCCCCAAGCCAAGCCTGTGAGTTACTAGCGACGTTCAAATGATCCGTAGTCTAAATACAATCAAATATCACCGTGAAACCTTTTGCATAAAATGAAACAAAAGGCTAACGAACCAGCCTCGTGTCAAGCCTAAGTAGGTTGCTCATAAGTATTCATCTTGTCCAGTCCAAATGAAAATGGCCACCACTCGCACAGATCCTGTGCGACATTATGTCAGGCACTTGAAAGTCAATGCCGGTGTTGTGTGACATTTGGACTGTATAAAATATGGACTCATTGGTTGCTTCAGGTGTCCACATGACATGAAAGAGACCGGAATTCCCGGGAGTCCAAATTTCATATGTAACATCATGCTTCTGGCATCATGCAGAAATACAGGGTGGGTAAAAAAAAATGAAACCTAAATGTCGGGACCATTGTTTTTAAAGTTCTGCATGTAGCACTTTCAAAATCTAGTATATAAAAGCCCAATTCATACGCTTTCTTTTAGTAAAAGATTCATTCAAATCACTCATGTACTATTAAAGTTACAGAATTTTAAACACTACCACCGTTTCAAGGTTCTGTCCTAGGATCACAAAAAAGTTCAGTGTTCTTTCAGCAAAAGGAAAGGAAATCACACACAACCCTATGTGTGTGAACTGTTTTCGTTTTGCTGAAAGAACGCACACTTTTTTGTGATCCATGGACAGAACCTTGAAACGGTGGTAGTGTTTAAAATTCCGTAACTTGAAAAGTACATGAGTGATTTGAATGATTCTTGTACTAAAAGAAAGCTTATGAATTGGGCTTTCATATACTAGATTTTGAAAGTGCTACATGCAGAACTTCATAAATAAAACAATAGTCCCGACATTTGGGTTTCGTTTTTTTTTTACTTGCCCTGTACAACAGGTCTGTGCACATTCAGATGACAAGAAGTCAAGTAAACTTTGCATACCACTGCATGTACCACACATTGGAGCTGTTAGAGTGGTCACATAGCACCTTTCAGCTGTTCTGCTCCGATTCAATACTGCCCTCTACTGGTGATGGTCTGACCCCACTGAAAAATCCAACTTGGAACATTCAAGTTATTAATTCCAACATAACATTTTCCACTTAACAGACAAAAGATATCAAAAATTTGAATCATGACTATAATACATGCAAAGTTTTAACAAAGTATACAACATTTGTTATAACGTTTTATGTTGTACTTTTCAATTCAGTCCCATCCGCATTGAAAGCGAACATTTTAAGGCACTGTTTGATATAAACTACATACTGGGATAACATTTATTAAAACTTAACTTCTGCAGATAAAATAAATTGAACATAATATAATTTGTTCGTGTGCATCAAGTTCCTCATTATATGCAGAACGCTTGGATGAAAGCAATTAAATAAATACATTTAAGCTGAGAAGTACTGATCATACACATTACCTGTTTTGTGCCAATGAAAAATGTTCTTATATTCAACATTTTAAATTTGATATTTTGAATGCATGCAGTCAAGATGATGACATTTTGCTCACTTAAAGGAAGAGTATATCATCTGTCATTTGTGCATTTTTTTCGTTTGAAGCTACAAAAGTGCTCAAATCTAAAGAAGGGTGCTTAATAACTAACCTGATGAAGTTTTAGCTCAGTGAATGCTGTATAGTCAGAAAACAACATTCTAGGATCTGGATTTCAATTATTAAGTTGCCGAGTCATGTTTTGAATTGCGCCCGAAAACCGCATCTGGGACACGTTTTCATTCAGCCGATTACAGCTACGTTATGTCACGGACTGAACTGACAGCAACTGCGCGCACATGTGTGTTGTGTCAACGCTTGCGTGTACCCATTCACAAATTAAAAATGAACTACAAACGGAAACTTCCAAAAATGCGCCTTTAAACGCATCTTTGGAAAGGACATTTTGTGTTCTCAAAATGACAGCTTGCCAGAAGGAATAATTTCACAGGGAGTTTAGTGCCATTACTATCTTTAAACCAAGTATACTTTTCAACAATAATTTGGTCAGTTACTTTTTGGATAGCTGCAAATGATGGACTCTACCTTTAACCCTAAAGGGGCCTGGGGGGGGGGGAGGGGGAATCTGCCCCCCCTCGACTTTTTCCACGATAGCCTTTCAAAAAATTTTTTTTCGCGACCCGAGCTTTTATGACTTTTTAGCCTCGAGCCTTGCGCATCTTTTGACACCAAAAACATTAAAATCGGACGAGGGGTTGTCGCACAGCGAAAATTTTTCTGGCGCTATGCGCCGTGAAAACTGAATTTTCCCATATACATCGTGTACACACACCAGAATTGCCATTCATACATATGAATAATTAATTAGCCATAATTCCAAAACCCTTTGACCTATAGTCATGAAATTTCTTGGGGATGTTCATGAAGAGTTGCTCTATGCATGTATCGAGTTTCGCAATTTTTCGTCACTCGATGGCCGAGATCTTAGGGGGGGGGGGGGCGAGAGGAGAGGACTGGGCGCATTCAAGACACAGTGGACCTCTAACATCCCACTGCCCCTACGGCCAGTAATGGCTATAGGACACCTTTACCTTTACATGAAAATTCCACCGTAACTCAAAACCAGAAACCTACGTCCATGACACAGTGGACTTCTAACGTCCCACTGCCCCTATGGCCAGTAATCGCTATGGGATACCTTTACCTTTACATGAAATTTCCATCGTAACTCGAAACCCGAGACCTACGTCCACAGTTTGGTGGGCGCTATCCCTTCCTGTGAGGTCAGCTTGGGTTGCAGATTCTCATCTTTCAGGAAGTCTAGCGGTATCCAGGTGATGTAGCCCTGGATGTCTTTCAGCAGCTGCAGGGCCGCCTTGGGGTCTGTCTTGCACAGCGGGGTGACTTTCTTGTACTCGTGGACGGCAGCACTTGAGGTGACTGAGTTGGAGGGCAAACAGCGAAACACCTTCAAAAAAGAGTTTTAAAAAAGAGGCATGGGTATCACTTATTCCATTCTGTAAAGGTGAACTTCTTAGCTAGTGTTTACATGAGCATGCAATTATTTGTTTAGATCGATAAACAATTCCCTTTACAGTTGTGATTATTCAAAAGACCAATTTATTTTTGTGTCACTTGGTTAACATAAATGATACCACTAATAGTTACCTCTTCTTTGGAAAACGTTGGATTTGGACTCTATTATCACCAAGTTTGTTCATGCTGGTGTTTCTCCCACTTCCGTATGAAAGGATCAGGGGTGTGATTGGACAAAAATGAAAAATCCACGAACTTCGGTTGACATGTATACATACATATGTACATGTATTATTGTACATGTACTTGTGCTTAAAAAGTTTATAGTAATCTTACTTTAAACTCCAGTCCCAGGCTTCCAAAACATTTTTGAAATTTTGTGTTGGTGGTGGCTATTTTTCAAAGCACTACTTCTCAGCTCAAACTGATTTCCATCCACAGTGACACTTTATTACCAGTTCTTCCAACCATACTCTTAAATTCCTTGACAAAATCGCGGCAATATTGACACCAATGTGATTGCGAATTGCTAGCTCACGATCGTCACTGCACAATGTATGCACAATACACACACATCCACACGCGATATACAAACAAGAGGTGCAAACCCATTGAAAATTATTTTTATTCTGGTCCTCAAGTACTCCACTGCGCATACTGCATTGATGTCTGTCAGGTTCTTGACCGCACTGCTTATTAGACTTGTGTCACCAGTCCATCCAATATCGTAAATTAGGGCCTTTATTTCGCCAGAAGTTTTCGGGCGATATTATGGAAACAGAAAATGTTGGAAATCCGGAAGCCGCATAAAATTCTGCAGACGTTAGACTAAAAATCCGGAAATCCAGAAAAATCCGGAAAAATCACACCCCTGAAGGATATAGTACGTGGAAGCCTTCATTTTTACCATGACCAATACACCTTACTCACGGAGTGATATAGCCACAGCGGTTTCGGGGCAGGAGGTTGAGTAATGGATTAACCCTCCTGCTGTCTGAACAGTCCTAGACAGTCAAAAAATCAACCCTCTTCCCCTGCCATGCCTTTTACACAGGCTAGTCACCAACAGTCAGATCACATTTCAAGCAAGTACCCTGACTAGTCAAATTCAGTCAACAGACAAAAGCAGACAAGTGGTAGGCAGAGCTGGCTTATCAATCACCTACTGTCAAAGCATCGCTGCATCAAGTTACATAAACAGTCACAGCCAGTCAATCCTGCTTTATGTAGGCTGGGAGCTCTTAACTGTTGAAAACAGTCACTTGATTGATTTTGACCGAAAGGACAACTCGGCGCAGTATGTATGTTTGCATAGGAGGGTTAAATTGCTTTTGAAACTGCTCCAGACCTCAATTGACCTTTCATATAAATTACTGACCTGCTCGTAGATGGCCGTGTTATCGCTAGCCAGCTTCATGACCACGCCTTTGTAGAAGGCATCCGACACAGGATCAGTCACGTCAATCTCCCCGTGGCCCTGCAGCACCCCCAGATGTTCCCTGCAAGAAAAGGGAGACACAAGGACACAATAGGAAACTGGTTTCAATTTCATGCAGCTTTTAGTAGAGAAAGATTGCTTCGCAATTGCACGCGCTAAGCACAAATCAACTTGGAGCCAGTCACATTTTAGTAAACTGTTTTCCCTCAACAAATATTTTATAAGCTTAGCAAATTTTTTTTTAAGCTCTTGGCAACAGAGCTTTTACAAGTCACTCGGGTGTCGGTCGGTCGGTCAGTCCCCCCCCCCAAAAAAAAAATTGACCAAAAACTGTAAGTATCAAATTGTAACTGTCCAAAAAAGCAAACGAAACACATTAAATACTCGACAAAATTGTTTGTAACAATTCGTGACATTGTTTACGAAGTTATTTGAATAGAGGCAAGATAATGTGTGGTAATGTAGTAGTCACGTGGTAAATGCATGCGCCATAAACTTGAGGGGCTAGGGGGCTTCTTTGTTGGTTCCCTAACAGACCTTGGAAAGCACCTGTGCACTATGAATCACCTCGGCTCTGGGCTCGGGCCCTGTGGCACTTTTATGGGTCTCAAGGGAGGCATAGGGGATTGACCAAAAGTATGGTGTTCCATGTGGGCCATTGGCGTTGCATTTTTCGGCGTCGCATTTTTCAGCTCTGACCATAGAGCTGTATTATTATACAGCTCTATGGCTCTGACAAGGGATCATTTTGATCCACCTCATGCAAGACTTCTTCTTGCAACACGGCCAGAGTTTATTGTGCACTCGCACTTGTTAGCTGAGCAGCCCACTGAAAATTGTCCCCTGAAGTTTATTTTCGATCTGAAGTAGCAGTTTGGGGAGTTCAGCCCCTGGATCTATTAGGCCCAAAAAAAAAAGTCTCCGGTTTCTGGTACGGAGCTTGCCCAAAAAGTGGTGCGGCGACGCGGTTTTTTGTTTTTTTACCTGACTTTTTTGCTTCAAATGTCGGCTGATGACTGCAAATGGTGCCCGACTGAACTTAGTGCAAATATATGGGAGTCCAGAGAGGCCACATAAAGCTTATTCTCGATCATAACCCCATCTAAAAACACGTTAAAATTGTGCAGCAGTAGGATTCCAGTCAAACCAGTGAGTTTGGCGGTTTTGAGACATCATCTTTCATTGAAAAAAAAACTTTTTCATTTTGCCGACGCGCATGGCTACGGCGACGCGCGCGCATACCAGAAACCGGAGACTTTTTTTTTTTGGCCTAATGCAAGACTTCTTGCAACATGGCCAGAGTTTATTGTGCACTCGCACTTGTTAGCTGAGCAGCCCACTGAAAATTGTCCCCTGAAGTTTATTTTGGATCTGAAGTACCACTTTGGAGAAATCAGCCCCTGGATCTATTACTCACTTGAACAGCCATTCCCGTAGCCCGAAGGCCAGCTTGCCAGCCATGTACTCCTTCCCGTTCATGCGGCTGGGGATCATCTCCGTGTCCTCCACCAGCACCGCCAGCTCGCTGTCCCGCTTGCCCAGCATGCTGCGCTCGTTGATGTTGGCCGAGCCGCAGATGAAGGAGCGGTCGTCCACGATCATCAGCTTGGAGTGGATGTAGACCAGCTCGGTCACCAGCTCGCCGTTCAGCGTGTCGTGGGTGCGCAGGCCGTAGAAGGTCAGGAACTTGCGTGGGTCTCTGACTAGAATGGAGTCATGATTGGACATATTTAACAAATGGCATTGCAGTCTGGAACAGCCCAGTTTTGTTAAGTCTATATAAGGAGTTGTTTATGGCTACTCGCCAGAGGCACATCCCATAACACAGCCAAAGGGGGGTGGGTCAAAAATCATAAAGTAAAATTGTTGAACAAAATCGTTGGAACTTTATTTGGACTTTTTAACTCAAAGGTATTTATAGATGAGTATAAGTGCTTGGCGGGTATTAAAACCGGCTCAGGGGCCTGGTCGCCGATAAATGTCCCGAGCCCAAAGTTCAGGCCCCAGAGCCAGTTTTCAACGTACTTGTTTAAAACTGGCCAAGCCCATTTTTTATTCCCTTAGTAACAACACAGGGTAAGCCTAGTACAGCTGGTCCAACAGTGTACAAACAAATTTTATACAACACCCAAGTAAGTCCTTGTCATTTGATTGGAGGATTGTACGTGGCATTCATTAATCAAACCATTGCACGGCCTACGTCATAACCATGCATTTGTGGTTCCATTCACCGTGCATTTTCATCCCATCCCCTTTGATCTATAGTCCGAGTATCACCCGTTATCCACGGAGCCCAGACTCCTGTCTCTAACGTCTGATATGTCAAAGCAAGCAGATTTATGCGATCTCGTGCCTCAGCCAATCGGAGTGGACTTTACTAAATCGTGACGTCATTTCATTCCCAAATCAGGACTAAACGTTTGATTGGTCAATTCGAATGCAGTGTTTTGTAATGCAACAACAGCCGGGCGCGTTATCGCGTAACATGATAACAGAGCGCATGATGCAGGGCTTTTTAATACATTGTCTATGACGCGCACCGGAGACCCGATATAGAAAGCGCCCGCTGATTGGTCAAAATCTAGGAAGTCAAGAGGCGGGGTCTTGCCTAATTAATCAGCGAATCTGCTAACATATCATAGACCCATGGCATTTGCCATGGGTCTATTACATAGACTATTTGATCTATTGCATGCCGCAAAATGCTAAAACGCGCAGCGGCCCGGCGCCATACAATCTTTGCGCTAGTTAGACCATATGTTGCATTATAGCAGTACAAAACTTGCTTTTGAAGTGGATGCAGATGCCTTGATGATTTTTTGCATTGTTTTAAGAACTTACAATGTTGATTTTCTGTGAGTTTTGTTTGTTCTTAAAGTTTTATCCTGCAATCGAATGACAAAGATCTACTTGGATGTTATATCAAACAAATAATGAATGTTTTGCATTCGTGCAATGGTGAGAATATTTTAATTTGTTGAAAGATGGAATGTTCCATTCGACTCGGCAGAACGTTCAATCTTTCAACTCATGAAAATATTCACTCCATTGCACTCATAAACATTAATTATTTGTATACTATTCAATAGATTCAGAATGGCTATTCACTAGAAATCTTGTCATGCATCTGGTCTACACAATGGCTGGACTTAGTCTATTCATGTTTTAGGGGGTTATCCTATACAACAGCACTGCCCAGCTCACCAGTGACAGCCAGTTGGTGAGTCTGAATGGTACATAAAAGGGCACTTAGCTGGTCTCTTAAAGGGAATGTACAACATTTGCTTTTGCTGCAATTTTCAGAAATAAATGGATTTGGAGGATTAGTATGTTATAGCAAATATTGTTAAAATGACTTGTTTCACGATTTGGGCTTGTAGATGCTGGAAAAACCAAGAAAACCAATCATGTTCTTGTAGTCTGGTTCCCTGACCCCACTTAAGATGAAACAGAGCAATTTATAAACTTTGGGGAATTGTAAGGTCAGAGAATCAGTCTAGCAGGCTTGAACCCCTTTACAGGTGTGTAATCAATTGCAAAGAAAACGCGGAATAACTAATTATGAAAAATTAGGAGCACTTTTTGAAAAAAGCCAGTTTTCTCCAACGCTGGTCGGCCGACCAGCGTTGGAAAAATCCCATTTTTCTTGAAAATGACAGCACACCAGGAGCCATGATTTTACAGAATGTTTTAGACTGTCATTCCATAACAATCCAGTCAGGTATTTCGTGATAATTCGATCATTTCGTTTTGTGATGTTTGCAAATGTTGTATCTTCCCTTTAAGACCAGCAAAGAAACTTACTTCCGGCTTGCAACATGCGTCCAAGCAGTGACTTGTTCCCACGACAGATGGACTGGTACTCCCAGTGAAGGATGGCGTGAATAGCGCCCCCGCCTGCCTCCCCGACGTCACCTTGGAATGCCGGCAGGAGGGGCAGGAATACGTAGACTCGAAACGTCTCGTTATTTCTGGAAGATATCAGCATCAGTCCCCAGAATTAGTTTGTGTATTTCTTTTCATCGTGACAAGAGTTCCTTTTGGCATAATTTTGATAAGTTGGAATGGTGGACTAGATTGTACGAGACTTACATGCTTAATATAATGTGGGCGACTTGCAGGATGTCTGGTACTAGGCCAAAAAAAATAATAAATATTCGGTCCCTGTCAGACCAAAGTTCCGGAATTGACGCGGCCACGCGGCGTTTTTTTTTTTTTTTCAAGCTTGGATTGTACAGACAAGGTGGGTACTATTTTGCTTTTTTGGTGTCCTCATGTACATTGGTGTCCTCCATAATTTGCCTTGGTGCTTTCGAACATTTGCCTTGGTGCAATTTCCCATTCCTTGGTGCTCTTTGGTAAAAAAAATTGAGGTGCGGAAATAGAGGGCGCTGTTGGAGCTACCGCAGAACATTTTCGACGCAGATCGACGCGCATGATTAAAATCGACGCGCGCGCAGACCAGAGACCGACTTATATTTTTTTTTGGCCTTATAGACCATTTTTTTTTTTTTTTTTACAAAACTGGATGCTGTGGAAGCTGCGATTCCGTACACAACTCCTCTTTTCTGCATTGTATTTAGATCAGTTCAAAAATGGATGGTGTATATGTATTGTTACAGGGGGAAACAAAATTAGAAAGATGCTTAGGTGGCAGTTTTGCTTCACGGACAGGCATAATAACACAAATTACATGGTCAATGCATTAACCCTCCTTTGCAAACATATATTCTGTGCGGCAAAGTTGTCTTTTCAGTCAAAATCAATTAAGTGACTTTTTTAGTTCAGAGCTCCCAGCCAACGTAAAACAGGATTTACTGGCTGTGACTGCTTATGTAACTTGGTACAGCTATGCTTTGACTGTAGGTGATTGATAAGCCAGTAACCACCCTCAATGATTATTTTCTTTCATGCGATACATTTTTTGTACCATTTCAGAAGAGATAATTGCCTATGGTATTTGGTATCAGCCTGCTTTGTCTGTTGACTGAATTTGGTTATTCACAGTGCTTGTTTAAAATATGATCTGACTGTTGGTGACTAGCCTGTGTAAATGGCATGGCAGGGGAAGAGGATTGATTTTTTGACTGTCTTTGACTGTTTAAACAGCAGGAGGGTCAATGACCCCAAAATGACAAGCATAGTTGAGAGACGGTGAAATGAACGAAAAGAGCTAGCCTTCTGGAGATATTTTGCACAATCACTGGCAATCTAGGCCTAATACCTTGGTTCCGCTAACCACAGAATGCTGCAAAACAATTCAGCTAGTAAGACAATCCAGTACTGATTTTGTATGCACATGACCCTTAGCCACACGATGTACACACAGTGTACAAAGCCAAAATTCAGATTTGCACGACTGATGTGAACTTACTCAAATGCTCTCAGAATTCGCTGGAAGAGAGCGTCAGCAATGCCGTTAGTTACCTCATGAGTGTCGTGAATTGTGATGAAGAACTGGTTCTAAAATCACAAAGAGCAAAAGACAAACAATTAGTTCTCCAAAATGTGTAACACAGGTTAAAGGGAAGATACAACATTTGCAAACATCAAAGAATGAAATGATCAAACTATCACGTAATACCTTACTGAATTGTTAGGGAATAACAGTCTCAAGCATCCTTTAAAATCGTGGCTCCTGCTGTGCTGACATTTTCACGAAAAACTGTATTCTTCCAACGCTGGTCAGCCAACTAGCGTTGGAAAAAACTGGCTTTTTTTTCAAAAACTGTTCCTACTCTTTCATATTAAGTTATTCTGACTTTTCTTTGCAATTGGTTACACACCTGTGAAGGGGTGCAAGCCTGCGCTAGAATTATTCTCGACCTTACAATTCTCCAAAGAGTATTTATTGCTCCGTTTCATCTTAAGTGCGGTCAGGGAACCAGACTACAAGAATATGATAGATTTTCTTGGTTTTTCCAGCATCTACAAGCCCAAAACGTGAATTAGGTCAGTTTAACAACATTTTCTATAACATACTAATCCACCAAATCCATTTATTTCTGAAAATTGCAGCAAAAGCAAATAAGTCATTTTCTTTACTTTCAGCAAATTTTTCCTTATTAAATTGATGTGTACATTTCCAGCAGCCGATTTCACAAAACTTTTACCCAATGGCCTAAGTCCGCTTGCAAAATGTATGGTAGCCTCAGAGCTAAAAATTTCTCAACATGCACAACATTTTACGTTTAGCAACTTTTCAGTTATCACAATTTCAGGAAAAACTTGTTGTGCGTAAGTCCGCGACGTAAAAATTGTCTGCAACTTGCGCAACAATTATGGCATAACTTGCGCAATCATTTTTGGCCGCGTAAGTTGTGTTACAGCCACTGAAAATGAACTATTTTACCAGCAAATCGTGATCACCTTGGAGCCTGTTACTGAACAATGTATCAAGGTTCATAATGATACAAGATACTCACAGCTTGTGTGTTTGAAGTAAAAGAACTGCTATTTTACCCATGACAAGAGTTGTTAGAGTTGCAGCACGATTCCGAAGGAAGTCAGTCAAACATATTGTCAAAATGGTGGGCGGAGGTGATTCAATTACTGTTTCACGAACAAACAAAATGATGCACAAACAGCCGTCGTAAATGCTGTTATTATCCTGATCCAAGATGTTTGTACTATTTAAAATTGTGCGCAGCCACACCCAGTTTCGTGAAATCGATTGTATGTTTATTGAGCAGCTGCGCAATAAATTTGTTGCATAAGTCCTAAGTAAAGAAAGGTTTGCGGAAACACCATACATGTGCGAATAATTTGCACATTATTCGCACATGGTGTTTCCTCAAACCTTTCATTATTTAGTATCTCCACCATGCAAAGCCTCAAATCTTACTTGCATAAGTCCTACGCATGGTGTAAGTTATGCACTGTTTCGTAAAATCAGCTGCTCTTGAGTGTCAATGTTTCTACCTGCTTTTAATTAAAATAATCTGGAGGAAAACTGGTCGACCATTTCAATGCGGATTAGAGAGATCACTTGTTACTGGTTTGCAATTTCTACTTGTTAAGTCAATTTCTTTTGGCTTGATTTACCTCAATGTAGATGTAGTGCTTAGCTTCTCCTATCATCTTGATGTAAGCTTTCTGTATGGAATCCTCTGTGTGCTTGATGCCTACGGACCACTTAGAGGCAGAGCGCAACAACTGTAGGATTGGAACCACAAATTACAAATAATAACAGTAAATTTTGTCTCTTTATTGCAATGCTGTTGGCTTTGGCCATGACTAGAGGAAATTTTCCTATGTTTCAAGATAGTTTTGGTGTAATTCAAAAATTGCTTTAATTTTTGACCCATGCTTACAGGCTTAAAGGTAGAGTATATCATTTGTGCTTTTTTTTTTGTAGCAACAAAAGTGCTCAAATTCTAAAGACGGGTGCTTAACAACTAACCCGATGAAGTTTTAGCTCAGTGAATGCTGTATATTCTGAGAAAACAATATTCTAGGATCTCGATTTCAATTCAAAAGTTGCCGAGTGATGTTTTGAATTACGCCCTAAATCTGCATTCGTGGCGCGATCTCACTCAGCTGATTGCAGCTGCACGAAGTCGCGCACTGAACTGACAAATAATACCAACCGTGGGCACGTGTGCGTCGTGTCAACACATGCGCGCAACCATTCACAGTTTCGCCTCATTAAAAACGAACTACTGACGGAAATTTCCACAAATGCGTCTTTAGACGCATCTTTGGAAATGACCTTTTATATTGTTTTCTTCAAAATGACAGCACGCCAGAAAGAATAATTTCACAGGGAGTTTAGTGCCATTACTATCTTTAGCTTTTCAACAATAATTTTGTCAGTTACTTTTTGGATAGTTGCAAATGATGTACTCTACCGTTAAGCACACTCACTGGCCCTTTCTTTTCCTGAATTATTCTAAGTGTCTCATTGACAAATCCAGGCACGTAATCACTGTGCGCTCACAAGGCATCAATGGAGAAACCATTTGTGGATGCTATTGTACAAAGCAACTGCCCCATGATGGATTATCTGAACTGTGGCTAGAACAATGCTTCCACAACTGAAGGGGGCCTTTGTGATACAATTGATTGTACAATATAATATTTTTTTGGCATCTCGATTACTTTTTAAACTGTGAGATGCTATGGGCTCCGTGTACAAGTACCCCATCAACGACCAGAAAAGGAGAGTTGGGGGTGACATTTTCCGATTGGTTCCCGGACTCCCGGTCCATCCACTGCGTATTTCAAATGTATCCAAAGTTGTTGAAGGCGGGGATTAGTCTCGGCGACCATCGCAAGTTGAGTTCGAACGTACTCGCGCGCCAACGACGCCTGATCTCACGCGAAGACACTGTGGCTAATAGCTTTTGTACATTCAGGAAGTGGTGTGTACTTCATGCGCGAACCAGTACAGTGCAGCATGCGCACGCTGTGTGTCCCGTCCACGGAGCTCTCAAAAGCATTAAAAACACGCCCTGTTTTGTTGGCGCACACAGCCCACTGGCGAGGCTTTTGTTCTTCTCGACCCTAACAACTGTAAAACAAATGTCGACAGTTTTAAATGGTAGAATAGTAAAACTAGCCTCCCTGTGTGATTTAGAATACAATACTCGAGCGTTCACCTACTCATTTCGCAGCAGTCAATATTTGTATGTGTACCTGACATTTGCAAGGTTCGGAGTTGGTCTTGTGCTCCTCCTTCACCTCCATGGAAGTCGTGGATTTGGGAAGCAGCAGTGGATAGTGGTTCAGCCTTTCAGCTTTCTCTTTCTGGGTGGTTACGAAAAAGAGAAAAAAAAGATGTAAAAAGAAGAAGACCAAGGGGCAAGCAAGCTGATTACATGTTAATCTCAGAATGATGCAGCCGCAAAAACACAAACCCTTGTTTCTCACGAGTCTTACTTTTACAAAAACAACTTTACAGAGCAAGGAATTCTAATTCTTTGTCACCCCGATTCTCTGAGAATGGCTGTTGGTTTTTCAGCCGCCAGCTGGTCAATGCAGGATAACACATAGCAGGTACACTCATACTTGTTCCGTAACTGTGGGAACTACGCATGAGTTGTCCCATGGTACTATGGGGACAGAAGACGCTATGGGGACCGAAGACGCTGTGGGGACAGCAGAAAGTTCCCATAAGTCGGTCTTAATTTGCCTAACAATTAAAAACCCTCCCCATAACGCGGTGACGGCCCGCCCACACATACTTGTTAGCTGTCCGAAGTTGTGGGGACCCCAAAGCCTGATAACAATAGTTATCTGGGGGATCAAAGATGCTGTGGGGACAGTAGAAAATTTTCCTTGCAATAGAAAACTTTCCCACAATGCTTGTCATCTGAATGTTTACAAACCAATTTAGCAGAGAAATGCACCTTAGTGTTGGTGCACTCATTATAAATAAAAATAAATGAAATTGTAATGCTTATATGGCGCTTTCCATCGTATCAACAATCTCAAAAGTGCTTTACAATTATTCCCCTTCATCAGGCCACAAGACCCATGGCAGCCGATATCAGTGCACATTCGGTCCACTACCCTCACAGGTACCCATTTATACTCCTGGGTGGAGAGGGGCAATTGTAGTTAAGTGTCTTGCCCAAGGGCACAAACACCATGTTCCTGGCCGGGTTCGAACCCACGCACCATCGTACCTGAGTCAAACACCCTAACGTCCCTGTGTGAAATAACAACAGGAATATGGAACCTCCCCCCCCCCCCTTCTCACCCCTAAGATATACCTTGGTGAAGTTCCAGCGTTGGATGAAGTGCCTGGCCACATCAGCGGCTACTTTGCCATACAAGCATGTGCCTATGTCATGCCACGGCATGCGGGGTGTTTTCATGCGATCAACCGAATCTACATGCAGGGAACAAAAATCAACCCAAGATGTAGAGGACATATGGATTAGCCTGGTGCAGAGTGTAAGAGAGACAGTCACAAGTCAATCACATGTCAGTCACAAGTCATCACAAGTTAGTCACAAGTCATAAGAAGTCATCACAAGTCAGTCACAAATCACCAAAAGTCATCACAAGTCATCACAAGTCAATCACAAGTCATCACAAGTCATCACAAGTCAGTCACAAGTCATCACAAGTCATCGCAAGTCAATCACAAGTCATCACAAGTCATCACAAGTCAGTCACAAGTCATCGCAAGTCAGTCACAAGTCACCACAAGTCATCACAAGTCAATCACAAGTCATCACAAGTCATCACAAGTCAGTCACAAGTCACCACAAGTCATCACAAGTAAATCACAAGTCAGTCACAAGTCAGTCGCAAGTCAGTCACAAGTCAGTCACAAGTCAGTCACAAGTCAGTCACAAGTCAGTCACAAGTCATCACAAGTCATCACAAGTCATCACAAGTCAGTCACAAGTCAGTCACAAGTCAATCACAAGTCATCACAAGTCATCACAAGTTAGTCACAAGTCAGTTACAAGTCATCACAAGTCATCACAAGTCATCACAAGTCACCCAGTCTCAAGTTATGTCATAAGCTATTACACCCAGCTATAACATAGACATTCCCTTGTCATTGTTCATGGTCATCCCCTGTTACTTGGGCCCCCCAAAAATAGTTCTCCTTCAGATTACATGGCATTTGAAAATAGGGTAGGTAGGTAGGGAAATTATTATTTTTTTTTTTGGCAAATGTTTGTGTGTACGATCATATGGAGGTGTCTGCGTGTAGTCAAGGGTAAAAGGTAGTAATTGATGGTTTTCGGGGTTTTTTCCTCATTTTCCCCCTAAAAACATTAAGGTAGGGGCTGTCAAAAAAGGGTAGGTAGGGAAACCGGAAGCAGAGCTATTTTTTTTTGTCTTTTGACCTGACTTATGATTTTGACTTGTGAATGCATTTGTGACTGTCTCGTTTACAACTCTGGTGTGGGAGAAAGAAAACTGGTGCAATAGTGCACATAAAATCACCAACCCCTAAAATGGTTAAATTGGCCCCAAAAATATATTTTACAGTTTTGGAAGCCAGGAGCTTAATTTCCCAAGTACGAATCAATATAGCAAACCCTCCCCCCCTAACCCAAACGTAAAAAATAACCACTTCCAAACCACATTATTAATTCCAAGAGAAAAAGGATTTATCTCACATGGGATAACTAGGATTATGATTAGGATTAGTTCAACCAAAAGAGATTTTGGATTATCAGATTAAGATTAATCCACACAGGAAATGTATCAAATAATCCATACCTAATGCCAGGTAAAATTTTATTCAGTCATTCAGGGGTGTGAGTGACCACTGATAAAAAAGCTGAACTTTGGAAATCTCCTATACTTTTGTACACCGCAAGTGAGGGAAAAAAAGCTGAAATCCAAAACAAAAGAAGCTGAAATCAGCTTTAAAGCTGAGATTTCACACCCCTCGTCATTAAGGAAGGCGATGATGGTAAAATAAATTAAAAAGTTAATCCAGCAGATTCAGATTCATCCACACCATCCCACAACCAAGAAATCAAAATTGATCCCTACCCAACAGGGATAAGAAAAGATGCCTCATCAAAGGATTCAAAGTGGTCCACACTAAACCAAAGTGATCTACAGTAATCCACACTAATCCACACAGAATCAGACTTAATCCATACCCAGGGGGATAACCAAGATTAGAACTAATCTGAACCTTGTAGGGACTCCTGCGGGGCCAGCACATCCTGGGCGATGAAGTTGCAGTAATCCTTGCCGATCCAGAGTTTCGGCGTGCCGAATACTCCCAGCTTGTCCATATTCTCGTCCACCCTGGTCTGCTGGACCTCTTCCTGGCGCAGCCGCTTGATGGGGTTCTTGAAGTAGACGGTGGCGCTCTTCAGCCTGGGCCGACGGAAGTAGCCTCCTTCGTCTTCTATGTCGGGAGTCGTTGGGGAGCGGGGGGACTGAGGAGGTGGCTGTGATGGCAAAAAATAAATCCATCAATAAAAACAAACAAACAAAGAAAGTCAGTAAGCGTCTGATGAGTTGGAGGGGAACCCATCACTTCAAACATTTTGTGCAGAATGCTGCCTGTCCAAAGTTGGAACTGATGTGATATGAAAAAATGAGCATTAATAATTGAGCAGTGTTGCAAAAAAAGTCATCACAAGTCATCACAAACCATCACAAGTCGACTAGACCCACGTGACAAGCTATTCAAATGAGCTGTCACAAAGGCATTCACTTGTCCTCGTTCACACATTGATATTTTTAAACCTGACTTGTGACTGACTTGATTATAACTCTGAAGTATGACGACTTGGGTGCGATATCAGATCAAGCATGGTTTTGTCGACTGTGTTCAGGGAATGCACTTTAGCAAGCGTATCCTATTAAGCCTAGATGTGCGTAGTGACTGGATGAAAGTATGATGCCAAACTCTTCTTAAAAAAATATGCGGAATACATTGAAGTTTCTTTCCCGCACGAAAAATTATTTCAATCATAAAGCCCGGTTCATACTTCATGCGAAAGCGAAAGCGAACGCGAATATGTGACGCCATGGCAAGTATTCGCGCTGCGAATTCGCAAAAGTTGAACACATTTCAACTCGGGCGAATTTCGCAGCGAATGTTTCATGACGTCAAATTCGCTTCGCATTCGCATGAAGTATGAACCGGGCTTTACAAGGCAAAGTGTTATTATCTTGTCAAGTGAATTTGGTGGCAAAATTCAATTCCAAAATAAATCTTTCAATCATAGAACATTCTGTGAAATGGCCCTAATACTCCACCTTTTCCATATACCGGTATGTATAATGTCACCGTTTACGGTAATTTTTTAAACACCGTTTCAAGACTCTCCTAGGAAAAGATGAATGACATTGAAGAAGCGTATGTATTTGAACAAGTTTATGGCACTAGCCAATGGTATGAAAGTTTTGGCCATATCTTTTACATTTACATATGTAGGTATGAACTGCAGATGAAACAAGCCATTTGAACAACATACATGTACCACTACACAACACACTTGTTGACAAAGTGGCTTAAGAGTCAAAGTTTCTGTATGAAACGTTATTCGGTAAAATCAATTTGTGAACCATATCATGTAACATTTTTACCTCGTCTACCTCGTATAGTAACAAGCTTTTCTGATAAATACCTGGACCAGCGCATACACAGTTATTTTCTAATGTGTAGACGTCGTAAAATACAAGATGTGCCTTTTTGAATATTCAGGTCTAAGTATGTACACAATCATTGGGCCATTCAAGTCTTAGTGTGTTAACATTAACTGGGCCTTTTTTTCCCAATATTGTGATTCCATTGGACTTAAAGGTTTGCATGGTGGATATGAACAAAAAATGGAAAGTTTGCGGTAACACCATGTGAATTTATCCAGAATCTCCTGTCTTAACGGTCCACTGAACTAATCACCCGGTGCTGAATCCAAACCTCCACTACTTAAACAACTATGTCAGCAAGAGTCTGGCAGTCTCCTGATGACAAACAGAGCACACTGTTCGAAACGTCAAGTTAAAACAACGGGTTCTTTTCAGAACCACACAACTCAAAAGAGATATCATTTAATACATGGTGTTACTGCAAACTTTCCATTCATTGTGATTTCACACACGGAGGGAATCGGCAAATGATTTAGTATTAAAAAAATCCACATCCAGCTGAGAAAATTTAAGTTTAATTTAAGCCCCTGTCACACATCCAAGACCAAAGACCAAGACCAAAAATACCTTGAAACTCGTACCAAATACAGAGGAAATGTTGCGCCAAATTCAAATTTCGTCTTCTAAGCTCCAGTCTGCGCACCACACTCAGAATGTGCTGCCATGTCGTCCTGAATACGACGACTCCGAAACGACCTCGAACTGAATATTACCACTTCACTACAACTTTGCTAATTTTGCTAATTTTGTTCACGACTGAGTTGACTATCTCGGTACGACATAACCGACAGAGTACTGACACAATCGATTGAGTACCAACATAAAAGACCGAGAACCGATACCGAAATGACGAGTGACGTTGTATTCAGAATTTCACGTCACTGCCGTTCTCGTATATTGCGATTTCGTGACGACTTCGTTACGACACAACCATTTCACAGACAGACTTTGATCTGTTTTGGAATTTTTTGCTGACCATCACAATATGTTTCAACTGTTGAAACTAATCGTGGCTCCACTGCGGACCATGCACGACTGTAGGATGCCGAAACAGCACTCAAGAAGTCGTTCCGATTAAAAGTTCAGATGTCCTTCCGAGTTTCACAATGTCGTCGAGTCTTGCGTCTCAGCACTGTCTAATCGTGATCAGGAGGCTACATTGTGACAGTGTGACAGGCGCCTTATGACGTTGTACTAAATAACACTCTCTTTGATCAACAGCAAACCATGGTTTCATTTTCAATTCTGAAGCGAAGGGAATATAGCATGGAATTATGTAAGGGCAGATGGCTTGGATGAACGAGCATTTCAGATGGCTGTTTTTGAATTGGAGGTCAAGGTGCTTTAACCTTTAACCTTTGACCTACTTCACCATCCTCATCATCATCACCATCGTGGTCCACTTGATTAGTTTTGATATGAACTTTGGGCTCGGGGGCCGGGTCGATATGAACTTTGGGCTCGGGGGCCGGGTCTGGTTCTAGGCTAGGAGGTTTCATAAACAAGTCCATCTGAAAATAAAATATATTATTTCAAACGCTACTGTTAAAGGGAATATACATTTGCTTTTGCTGTAATTTTCAGAAATGGATGGATTTGGGGGTTAGTATTTTATAGCAAACTTTGTTACACTGACTTGTTTGACGTTAGTGTTCGTGTATGCTGGAAAAACCAAGAAAAACAATTATGTTCCTAAAAGAATCATTTTCAAGCCAACTTCTGATATACAGCTAAACGCAACAGATACTGATTCGAAAGAGTGATTTTAACAGTATCTGTACAATATTTCTTGCTGAAACCTATATGTTTAAATATTCCGGGGTGTGCACTGGAGCGTAAATTGTACAACAACAGGCCGTGCACAGTGGCCAATTCAAGATCAACACACAGTCCACCTCCACAGACTTCACAGACTTTTTGTGTGTGTACAAAAGGCACCAGTGGTTAGCGTGTCAAGGCTATCTTGACGTCTTAACCCGTCAGCTGTGCCTGTGTATAAAAACAGCCAGTGCGTGTTATCACGCCTCCGACGCGAACTGGTTAAAATCTTAAAATTTGAAGACATTTCGACTCGTAACGGCTTTCATTTTAAGCTTAATTCATCTTTCCCTCCCGATTTCAAATGGCAAGAAATTGACCAATCACCTGCTGCCGCTGCAGCGACGCATTCCTATTGGCCACCAGAGCTGAGCCCACATCGGTCAGGCGATGTTTGAAGTCATCCCAGCGGCCGTAGCAGATGTCCAGGCCGCCCACGAAGGCCACTTTCTGGTCCACCGCCACCAGCTTCTCGTGGTGGGCCCACAGGATGACTTGGCCGGGGTTGTGGTCTGGATGCCGCATCACCTAGAATTTGGATAAAAAGAAAAAGAATTACAGTAAAGTATGGTCAAGCTTTCTCAGTACCTCATGTGGTAACCAGTACCTTATAAGATTTTGGGCTTTGCATGGTGGAGTATCAGTATCGTTTCGTTTGCGGTAACACCATGTGGTAATATACAAATACAGCATGGTTTGAGGGGAAGTAGTTGGAATTACTGGTCCCGAGGTGTAGGTCAGCTTGACTACCTCCCGACGCGAAGTGGAGGGAGGTAGTCAAGCTGACCTACACCGAGGGACAAATAATTCCAACTGCGTTCCAGAAATAAACCATGCTGTATTTGTTTTACTACAGCTCATAAATATTTAGTAGCCTCACTGCCTTTTTAGTGGCCTCACTGCCTTGTCGATAACGGCCTTCGTAGATTTTGCATCTTTTTCTGTACAACTTCTACAAGATATTCAAGTTCTTTGTCAGTCAATGAAATAGTCTTGTGCCAACACTCTTTAATTTGTCTTTACTACAGTAGTTAGTACAAACACTACAACAACAGACTGGTTCCGTAAAGATTTCATGCCACAGACTACATGTTCTACGAGGCGGGTTCCAGCGGGAATTTTTGGTACTACCAGAAAGAACTACAGCACGGCAGCGAGCTGGATAGTCACCGGGATGACGTCACCTAGGCACGTATCATTTTTACTTCCCGGACGCGCGGCGAAATCGGCCAATGACGCACTCCAATTTGATCATGAATATCTATGAGGTGTAGTAATAACTACTGTCGCTCAGTAGATATTTAGTTCTGATAAGAACTTGTCCTGTTTATTATCAACTTTCGCCAAGTAGTTTTAGTTCTGATAAGAACAGTCCTGCTTTCAGTTCTAAAAGAACTTGTCTTTGGTCTCAACGTTTCAACTAGCCTGCTCTAGTCATCGTCAGGAGACTGAGGAGAGTCAGAGATGCTATCCAAGATTTTGCGAGAATTTTTTTTCTTCAAAATGGCGATGGGCTTCAGGACTACTTTTAGGGGGATCATCTTGGTATGGCATCTTCTTCTAAAAGTCATTGGTTAACCCCTCCAAATTTGAAAAGAAAATGATGAAATAAGCTTTTATTTGATGGGTGTCTCAAACACCTTGGAGAGTTGTAAGTATTTTTTCAAATAATTTCGGGAAGTGCGCGTAATTATCACTGAGGTCTATGGGAGTCTATTTACTGGTCTGCAACCCTATGGGAGTCTATTTACTGGTCTGCAACCATAGGTAATCTAATTTGTCTGCATGTACCTTGATGTTGGGATGCAGGCCCATGAGTACGTGCTTGGTGTGACTACTTCCCAACTCGATGGCAACATCTACCTCCTTGTACAGCAGCACAAAGATCTTGACACCTTGTGCCTGTTATAAAGCAATGAAAAATGTGCACACATTTATACACCCACTCTTGTTTTACTTTACTCTCGAGGACAATGCTTTGTGTTTCCCTTTGTCCCCGTAATATAACACTCTCCATAGACTAAGCACACAAACTTACTACAGAGGACCGTTTCAAATGAAAGACCCAACTCCCGAGGACTGAAAGGATCTGTTGTTCTCCCTTTGTGTGTCGATCCTCGGGGGGGGGGGGGGGGGGGGGGGGTTATGTAGAACACGTATACTCAATCGAAGATGTGCCTTGTCTATTTGGGACCTTGATTTGGGGCTTGTTCAAAATTTAGCCCGATTATTTCCTCCAAAGGACTTTTCACACTAGAGCCTCTCAACCCGGGTTGAACTCAACCCTGGGCAAACCCAGTGCCAACCCCAGGTTGTGTTTTTAATTTTTCAACCCCGCGTTCAACCCGGCATCATTTCACACTTGTTCCATGCAAACCGAGCATATTTCGCTCGGTTACTACTGTTTTGAACCCTGGAGAGAGTTTTAACCTGGGTTGAAAATCTCAACCCCGGTCAGGAGCAGGGTTGAGATTATCCCGGGGCGAAATCAATCTCAAGCTTGAAGCAGGGTTGGCGCAGTGTGAAATGCTGCATGTTTTTTTTAACCCCGCGTCAACCCCTCATCAAACCCCAGATATGCCTAGTGTAAAAAGGCCTTAAAGCTATAGTCCATCATTTGCAGACATCCGAAAAGTAACTGGCGTAATTATTGTTGAAAAACATATTTGGTTGAAAGATAGTAAGGGGACTAAACTCCCTGTGAAATTATTCTTTCTGGGAAGCTGTCATTTTGAAGTAATCAACGAAAGAAGGTCTTTCCAACGGTGCATCTAAGACGCACCGTAGGAAATTTAAATTTGTAGTTCGTTTTGTTATTCGGCAAAGCCCGCACAAGCATTGGTACGACGCACGGGCGCGCGCAGTTGCTATAATTCGTCGGATCAGTGCGCGACATCGCGTATAGCTGCAATTCAAAACAATTCAAAACATGATTCAGCAACTTTTGATTTGAAATTGAGATCCTAGAATGTTGTTTTTCTCGGAATATACAGCTGAAGCTGAGCTGAAACTTCATCAGGTTAGTTGTTCACTATCCTTCATTAGATTTTGAACACTTTTGTTGCTTCAAACGAACAAAATGCATAAATTACAAATGATGAACTATAGCTTTAAGGTAGATTGTTCACAAAGTTACCTGAATGGTATTCAGAAGTACCGAAATTCAGAAAACCCAAACGTTTCAGGAATCCTTACTTTCTTTGGCTTCCGCATGCTCAAACCAATCTGCATGTACACTACATTCTGAAGTAGGGTGCTAAAACTAGACCAGTACTGGGGTGCTACGTATATACGTACATCCATGTACATGTACCTAACAAGCTGCTAAATCAGCCTATGCACAACAAGTGCACCATCAAGAATGTCCTTACATCTTGATATTCTCCTTATCTATTGCGGCAAGGTCAACTCACCATCTACAAGAAAAAGAAATACTGCATTCCCTGTCTTTTCATACCAAGGAAACAGAAGAATAATGCCAGCCTGGTGAAAGGTATTGGCTACGGACAGACTTTACTTGCAACCGGCAAAAAAACCCATAAATTTTGAATCTTCCTGAGAATAAAATTTAGTAAAATAAGTAGATATGCAAGGAAGGTTTTGTGCTTGTTGGTCAATATCATTTCCTGAGATTGTTTCAACTGAAGAAAAAAAACAAGCGTTTCAATTAGGATAGGGGATATTTTTCTGTGGATTTCTGAAGCACAAATTATTCGCATCATTACTACGTACCGCTTTCCTGTGCAGGATGTTATCCAATCGCCAGTAGGGTCCCTCCACAGCGGGTCTCTTCAGGTAGATCTCGGCATTCAGCCACCAATCCGTGATGAAGATCTCTTGCTCGGCCTGCTCTAGCGCATCAGCCAAGGCATCAAAGTACTTGGACCCATCCACGAACCTTCACGGGCAGAATTGATATTGGGTCAATCACAATCACAAGTCAATCACAAGTCAATCATAAACTCATCACAAGTTAATCGCACTCAATAACAAGTCAATCACAAGTCAATTGCATGTCAATCACAAGTCAATCACAAGTCAATCATAAACTCATCACAAGTCAATCACAAGTCAATCACAGGCCAATCAAAAGTCAATCACAAGTCAATCACAAGTCCATCACGAGTCAATCATAAGTCAATCACAAGTAAATCACAAGCCAATCACATGTCCATCACAAGTCAGTCACAAGTCAATTACATGTCATCACAAGTCAATCACAAGTCAGTCACAAGTCCATCACAGGTCAATCACAAGTCAGTCACAAGTCCATCACAAGTCAATCACAAGTCAATCACAAGTCAATCACAAGTCAAACAAGGACTTGCATGGACTTGTGATTGACTTGACTACTTCCCTGAAGTACAAAGGCAGTCACAGTACACTTGAAAAGCTTACGACTTAAGAATGGATAACTTGTGATTGGCCTGTGACAGCTTGCAGAGACTTGTGATTTACTCAATTACAATGCTTAATGAACAGTAGATAATAATAATAATAATAGCTGATATTTATAAAGCGCACGTATCCACCAGGAGTGGTGCTCAAGGCGCTACATCATTATTACCCCTGCTCATTGGGCACATGAAACATTCCAAATACCATCTCAGCTCCCTGGGGAGTATACAGCTCGATGCAGCCTGTTAGGCGCAAGGAAGCTAATTCAATCACAATAACCATCTCTGCCCTCACAGGTACCCATTTACTCCTGGGTGGAGAGAAGCAATGAGTGACAAAGTGCCTTGCTCAAGGGCACACGCACCATGACCCCGCCAGGACTCGAACCCACAACCTGCAGCTTTACCCACAGACCACGAATGATCAAAAAGATGCCAATGATCAACAAGTATACGCTTCATGTACATGTACATGTTAATGCAGGGTTCGACTTTAGCAGTAGCCCTCAAGCCAAATACTAGCCAAGCCGGCTAGTCAAACTATTCCTTAAGTAGCCCGGCTGGCGAGTCAAAAATTATTGGGCTATGGCAAAGATGAAAGGACAGGAAGAAATAAATAATTAAATTCAGAACACAAACCTGTATCAATTTGTGTCTAATTTCATTAACTGTTTAGGGTTAAATTATTGGATCTGTTTATTAAAAACACTGACAAGATTGCCTCAGCAATCAGGATACAGGTTTTACATGTATGCTCATTGTTGCTTATGAGACACTCTAAAAAAGAAAAAACATGCGGGCTAGTGAAAATGCCCGCAAGCTAGTTAAGAGTCTGTTTCAGTAGCCCGGCTGGCTAGTGATCAAAAAGTTAAGGTCGAACCCTGTTTTATCTATAAACTAGTTTTATCTATAAACAACAAAATATCACTAATTCCACCAAATTTTTTTTTAAAAAGGCAATAATTTTGTGACCGCAGACTAACCGCAACACCCAACCCAATGCCACTTCAACACTTCATAGAAATCAAGCACTTTCCTCTCTTTGTGAATTTACTTACCACTTCCTCTCCTTTGCTTCCTGCCTTCCCTTTCAATTTTTTTTTTCACTTTTAGTGGAAAACTAAAGAACTTATGTAGCTGCCCTTTGGTATACCGATTCCGGTATTGTCTGTATCAAAGAGATCTTAAAGGTAGAGTAGATCATTTGCAGCTATCCAAAAGCTTGCTTGGTTTAAAGATAGTAATGGTACTAAACTCCCTGTGAAATTATTCTTTTTGGCATGCTGTCATTTTGAAGTAAACAATAACAGAAGGCCGTTTCCAAAGATGCATCAAGTGATGTATTTTTGGAAATTTCCGTTGGTGGTTGGTTTGGAATTTGGCGAATCTGTGAATGGGTGCGCGCAAGTGTCTGGGTATTGACACGATGCACACACACGTGCAGTTGCCCAAAGTTATAGAATGATCCCTTTGCGTTTGAGCTGAGTATAGGGGGGGGGGGGAATATGATTGGCTGTAGTTACCATCTGCCGTAAGTGTCGGTTCTCTCTGGGCCAAATGCGTTGAAGCGGTGTTCGTCTGTGTACTCCGACTTTGAGATCATCTCCATAATCTCCACCATCCACTGCCTGGCCATGGGCACTGTGTCAAACTTGACCAACAGCTTCCTGAGATTGAGACGGAAACGATAAGAGCAAAATTAAAGTCTGTCACAAACCATATGGCCCAACAGACTGGCGTTTATCTCTAGTTTCCTCGGCATGAAATGACTGAGAATTTTTGCTATTTCTCCCCCGGATGGGATGCCAGTCCATCACAGGTTACTCCCCAGCTAATGCTGGTGTCATATGAAAACTGGACTCGTATGAAAATCGGACTCTTTTTCCCTTTTATTGGTTAAACCCTCTCATGTGACTGGTCCCTCTCCTAATTATCTATTCATGAGCATGCGCAATACCACCAATGAGTCCGTATTTTATAAAATCTTAATTCATGCTACACCGGTTCCCATTTATACTCCTGAGTGGAGAGAGGCAAGTGGGGGGTGAAGTGGCTTGCCCAAGGACACTTCATATGACCAGTAGCTGGATTCGAACCCCCGACCCCCTGACCCCCTTACAGCCATCCTTAAAATGGCCCATCAAAAAAAAGCCTTTCATGATCTTGATTTCCATGACTTTTCCATGCCTTTTTTTCAATTTTCCATGACTTTCCAGGACAAGATTTTTTTCCCAGGACTTTTCCATGACTTTCCAGGACAACTTTTTTTCCCAGGACTTTCCATGACTTTTTCATGCTTTTTTTTTTCAATTTTCCATGACTTTCCAGGACAAGATTTTTTTCCAGGACTTTTCCATGACTTTCCAGGAAAACTTTTTTTCCCAGGACTTTCCATGACTTTTCCATGCTTTTTTTTTTTCAATTTTCCATGACTTTTCCATGCTTTTTTTTTCAATTTTCCATGACTTTCCAGGACAATATTTTTTTCCAGGACTTTTCCATGACTTTCCAGGACAAGATTTTTTTCCAGGACTTTCCGTAACTTTTCCATGACCCTGGGAACCCTGACCATTTTTCATAATGAGCAACTCCCAACCTTCAAAGTTGACTGTACACCTACCTGTACTGGTTGGAGATGATAAGGCCCGTCTTCAAACTGGTTTCCTCGATACCCCACTTGGCGTCAAAGTCCTTATCAGCCAGCATGACGGCACGGAGGTGACCATCACTGGGTCTGACGTAGGCAACAAAGGAATCCTTGGTTACCAACCACCTGGAGTTAAGAAATAAAAAACAAATTACTAATATCTGTCAAAAAGTAATGGAACATGACATTATAGCCTTATCAATCTGTTTTTTTTTCACACATGAAGGCAAGAAGTCAAGTCTCTATGCAATTTACGAAAGTGGATTATTCTTTTTTATATAACCAACATACATATCCTTGTCATATGATTGGTGGAACTCACATCACGTGACATTCGTTATTACTCCCATTCATGCCGGGTCTCAAGAAGTACTATCGGCCTATACAGAATGGGAAATACTATTGAACAGTTAGGATCATTCTTGTTCCATGACGCGGTATTTGTGTGCAAATGCATGCTGGTGTGCGCATTCAGCGTTGCGCGTAGCGCGTATTGTTCCAAAGAGCCAGCGCTAAAAGAGTGGGTTCAAACATTTTCGTGAAGGGGTGGTTTGGAAGAGAGAAATACATTTCCCATCAATTTTGAAGTGAAATAAAAGTGCAAGTATATCAAATGACAAGGATCTTTATGTCAGTTATATAAAACAAATATTGAGTGGCTTTAAATTGTGAAATGGGAGGAATATTATTGCTCGATAAAATCTGGACTTTTCCAGTTCACAAGGCTTCGCCTCGTTAAGTCCAGATTTTACCTTGCGATAATATTCCTCCCATTTCACTCTGAGCCACTCAATATTTGTATAACATTACGTGACCCCTACAACTAATTCTACTGTACCAACTTTCTAGCCAATCTGAAATACCGTAGTTGAAAAGAATTTCCCCCCAAGTGGCCTTTCGGAAGGAGTAAAAAATGAGCCTCATTAAAACACTTTTGCAAATTTTTCGACAACCAACTCTTCGAACTCTTCTATTTCTTCTCTGCAACCCAAAGGAAAAACAAGCTCTTTAAGCTCGTTACTCTGTGGTTGAACCATAGAGCTATATTAAATTACTAGAGCGCTAACTCTGTGTACAAAGTAACGCCTGATGGGCGCATCCATGTTTGTGCACAAACCTATGGAAAACTCGAAATTTTGTACGGCTTTTGTACGGCTATTTGCATATCTGCGTTTGTATTCCATACCGGTGCGTCATCGAAGCCGACACGCCCAAAACCGAAACGCACGATCAGCAAATGAGCCTTTCATTTTGCTCTACGCAAAAAGCGCAACGTCTGCGCGTCCCTCCGCTGCAGATGCTTTTCGCCGTGACGTGTTTTGAACCATCATGACGCGCTTTAAGTTGTTTGCGTATCTTCTACTTGCGCGTTGCATTTAGAGTACACTTTTAAAATTCAATCCATCTATTTTGATTGTGTTCTACAAACACGCACATGAATTCAAAATGTCTGCGCCCAGAGCGGCTTCAAAGCGTCTCCACGCGCAAGAATGAGGAGTTAGCGCTCTAGTAATTTAATACAGCTCTATGGGTTGAACTCTTCTTCTCCAAGAACTTTATAAACGGTATGTGCATGAACATGTGAATGAGTTTAGGGAGTTAAAGTGAATGTACATCATTGGCTTTTGCTGTAATTTTCAGAAATGAACTATTTGAGGGATTAGTATAATAGATCAAATATTGTTACACTGACATGTTTGAAGTTTTGTGTTCGAAAATGCTGGAAAAACCAAGAAAACAAAAATGTTCAAGTAGTCTGGTTCCTTGACTCCACTAAAGATAAAATGGATCAATTTATAGATGCCAGAAAATTGTAAGGTAAGAGAACCAGTCTAGCTGGCCTACACCCGTTCATGAACATCTTACCAATAGCAAACAAAATTTGGACTGAAAAAAGTGTAAAGTTTGAGCAGTAGTTGAAAAATAGGTTTTTCCAACGGTGGTCGGCTGACCATCTTTGGAAATGTATTCAAAAATACCACTTTTCTTGAAAATGACTTCACACCAGGTGCCATAATTTTACAGGATGCTTTAGACTGTCATTTACCAACATCCTAGTAAGGTATTTCGTAAAAACTTGGTAGTTTTATTTTTCGATGTTTGCAAATGTTGTATATTCCCTTTAAAATATTCTCAACATTCAAACTCAAGAAATCCAGTGTATTCGTCATGTTTTTGCTTTCCAGGATAACAGCTACTCAACACAAAAATTGTAATTGTACTTTATAGTTGAATTGTACCACACATGTACCTTTTACTGTAATGAGCTGCAACCTTGGTGCAGTCTGTACACACCAGACAAGGGCAACACCTGGTGATGGGCACTCGGTGACCTCCTGACCTCTTCTGTATCCAACCTTCCCTGTTAATCATGAATAAAATACGATTACTTCTTATGACACTCCTACTTTTTAAGCTCTGGTAGGAGCTTCTACAGCCTGTCTCAAATCAAATCGAAAACAATTTTTTTTCTATATTAAATCTCAACATAAGTAAGTCGTTTTGAGCATCACATTAAAGAAAAAAGACCAGGCTTTCCAATACTTTTTGTTTCATCTCATTTGCTTTTGTCAATCCAGAGATAACTCCAGTTTACTGCGGAACACAAAAATCAAGTTTGTTTCTTTTGCCAAGTTGCAATCTTTTGTGAGCTTCAAGACAGCATGGCACAGTACTCAAAACAACTCTGCCCATGCATAAAAGTGGCACAAAATCAATTTTGGTGTATCGCACGAAATTGATTATATCTCTGAATTGACAAAAGCAAATAAGATCAAACAAACACTATTGGAAAGCCCAGTCTTAGTTCTTTTATATTATGCCAAGTAAGAATGACTTATTTTGAAATTTCATATTTAACCAATTTTTTTTCTGATTGTACCATTTTTTTTGGAGACAGGCTGTATATGTCACTTGGTGGTCGGTCGGTTGGTCTGTCTGTATGTCCCTGAAAATGGACAAAAAATGTGTCACCAAAAATTGGCCAAATGCCATGCCGTCGTCAGTAAATGCACTCTTAACGAAAGTTATCTGAAAACTGGCTTTGTCGTGATCGATGCGCCTGCGCATCTATTTTGTATATGTCTGCCCCAGAAAATTGACCAAAAACGAAACCCCTAAGTTTCCCATAAAATATAACTACCAGATTTTAATTTATATACAAGGTCAGTCAGAATAATCTGGACCCAAGTTCACCATTTTTTTGTTTGGCAATATGAATGGTTATTATACACTTGTCTTCCACAGGAATTTTGAATTTTTCAAATTAGTGGCTGTGGTGAGGAGTTATGCCATTTTCATTGAAGTGGCTCATTTTCCAGTCTGCACACGAAATTGGTTTTGCCTTTCTTTAAATGCGTCAATAACTTCAAGTGAGTCAGTCACCATTTGTTATTACACTGCTTCACATCAGTACGCGATTTCAATAAATTTGTTGAACCATGGAACCGTGGTCAGAGTGTTTTTAGTGTGTGTTCTCTGCTAGCAGTTTTCTTCAAAATGGTACAATGGATGTACATAAAACTTTCACCAAATATGTCCAAAATACCAGCCTATAACATATCTCATTTGCACTTGTTTTGTTAATTGCTACATATTTGTAATATTTTCTTTAAATTGGGTCCAGATCATTCTGACTCACCCTGTATGACACAGAAACACAGAAAAGTATGGAGTGTAGAACTAACAAAGTGAATTTTTCTGCCTTATTTAATTCATAAAACTTGTACTGTAAACATTTAGAAAAGTTTAATTGCACTAATCAGGCATAAACTGACATAATGACACTTAGCATACGGGGCGAGTCAGAATGATCGTGACCCCAATCAACAAAAATATTAAAAATATGTAGCAATTATCGAAACAAGTGCAAATGAGATATGTTCTAGGCTTGTATGTTGGACATATTTGGTGAAAGTTTCACGTACATGTATATCCATTGTACCATTTTGGAGAAAAATGCTAGCAAAAAACACACGCTAATAAAAAAAAAAACTGACCCAATTTCCATGGTTCAGCAAATTCATTGAAATCACATACTGATGTGCAGCAGCGTAACAACAAATGGTGATTCACTCACTTGAAGTTATTGACCCATAAAAAAAGGACAAAACCAATTCCGTGTGCAGACTGGAAAATGAGCCACTTCAATGAAAATGGCATAACTCCTCACCACAGCCACTAAATTTGAAAAATTCAAAATTCCTGTGGCAGACAAGGTAATAACCATTCATATGAAACACTCGTTTTTTTCTCAATATACTCAATTTGCCACAAAAAAATTAATAAACATGGGTCCAGATCATGCTGACTCACCCTGTATACAGAAAGTGAGAACACTTTAGGAAAGAAAGAAAATAGCTGTAATAAGTGTCGATGAGCAATAAACGAATAAGGAAGTTAGTCTCAATATTGCATGCACATTGTTTCAACAAACATATCATGATGGCCACCTGTGAAAACAGTAAACCTTGAACGGTCTTCGATACAACAACAAAACACAAATGAAACGCCAGCAGTTGTGAAACTTACTTTCCTTTTGCTCCCAGTTCGTCAACAAATGAAAGGTGGCTAACTTCCAAGAACTCAAGCTGAAAAAAAAAACGAAAACAAAACAAATGCTTTGAAACTAAACTGTGATGTACTTTAAAAACAAATTATGGCTGAAAGACATTGAAGGAGTTATGACTAAAAGACTATTTAGTTGTTCTCAAAGGTATTGGGGAAATGAATGAGAGTCAACTAAATTCATGAACTGACCGAATTGTAATGCAGTTGTTAATTTTAAAATGGTAATAGGACAAAAAAATATCTTTAAGTTATTAATAATATAGGTTTTCCCGGCTATTTTAAAATGTTTCTCATTCGAATTCACAATTTTAATATTCAAAATTCGTACATCAACATCGATTTAGTGCACTTCCAATGTTTAATTTTGTCTTTTGTCAGACAATGTCAAATTCAGTTCAAGCAAATTCAATCAACTAGCACACGTTTTCGTCCCGGAGCATTCGATTTCGTCTCGTCTACACCAAACCATGTTATTCAGAAATCAATACGTCCAATTGATTGATATACAAATGTAAGACAATTTCGATCTCTGAATGCTGCCATTCGGCAACAGCTTAGACAAATTTGATCTGCAATGACGACTACTCTCGACCCGGTGGCTAAAGAGGGTGACCAAACTTTGAAATTGAATGGTAAATGGTTAAAAGCATGTGAAACTTTTCTCAGACGAAATTGAATGTTAGAGTTGGTGAATTTGAACGAAAAGTGTTTTAAAATAGCCAGGAGAACCTATATCATGGTCGACCAGGTCAATTACTGACGACAAAAAATTGTACAAAATCAAATGAAATCTGCAAAGTTGTCAGTCCGTTACAGAATTTAAATTTCTGCCATTTACGTGTATAACATCCAACAGTACAAAACGTACAATTGAGGGAGATAGCACGTTTTTGAAGTGACATTTACAGATAAATGTTACATTCACAATGATTTTTTGGGAAGTATACAGGGTGAGTAAAAAAAAAGAAACCCAAATGTCGGGACCATTGTTTTAGTGAAGTTCTGCATGTAGCACTTTCAAAATCTAGGATATGAAAGCCCAATTCATAAGCTTTCTTTTGGTGCAAGAATCATTCAAATCACTCAACTACTTTTGAAGTTACGGAATTTTAAACACAACCACCGTTTTATAGTTCTGTCCACGGATCAACAGAAGGTAAGCGTTCTTCAGCAAAACGGAAACAAATCACATAGGGATGTGTGTGAATTGTTTCGTTTTGCTGAAAGAACACACACCTTTTTGTGATCCGTGCACAGAACTTTAAAACGGTGGTTGTGTTTAAAATTCCGGAGCTTCAAAAGTACGTAAGCGATTTGAATGATTCTTGTTCTAAAAGAAAGCTGATGAATTGGGCTTTTATATCCTAGATTTTCAAAGTGTTACATGCAGAACTTCACTAAAACAGAAGTCCCGATATTTGGGTTTCGCTGTTTTTGACTCAGCCTGTACAACCATACTCAGTCAGTTTCCCAATGTGGTTCATTTAAAGATTTTTACGAGGAAGCTATAATCCCTGATTGCCATCTTGTTCCAAAGTTTAAAAACATCGCCAAGTATTGATAGCAATTATGTGACTTTTGGCATGATCCCTTGCCAACCAGCACATACAGTTTTATGGCAATTGACTAGCACTCCACGAATGAAATGCCTGGGCCAATTTCAGGCTAGCTAAGTAGCTCAGTCCATTGAGCATCAGAACATTATTCTCCCCAGTGAATCTTTCGGTTCAAAGGGCCAATGACATGAATTTTACTTGGGCTCATATTTTGTGCAACTTTCTACTCCTCTTAAATGTATGAAAACTATCTAACATCCATTTTTGGTTAACTGTATTGAAAAGTGCACTTTTTTAAACATTCCAAATTTTCCATGCTTTCCTTGACAAATGAGGGCATTTTTGCTATGATGTCATTTCAGGAAAACACTGTTCAGTATAGGGGTTTTGAGTTCAAATTGTGAACGCAAAAGTTGTCATTGAAAACATGTGTGGGAAACTTTGTTCATTGGCCTAATGTCATGTACTGAGACAACAATATATCACCAAAGAAAAGAAACTTTACGATAGCAAAAATATCCAAAATTGTGGCAAATTTTGATGCTGAAATAGCTGTCACATTGAGGTTTCTGCCTGAAATGACATCACCCTTTTGCTCATGAATATGCAAATTTTGATTAGCATAAAAACCAAAACGGCACCAAAATGCCCTTAAAAAAAAATGGCAAAATGACAATTAAAAATAAGGTTAAATGGACCACAAAGGTGCATTTCCAAGGACTACATGTACATTAACAAAATCACATTACATGGGCCCTTTAACCTTTAAATATTGATAAAATGACTACTGAAAAAAAACGACAATTAATAAAGAAGTGTTAAAATTGAGACTTTCTTAAACCTTCCTTTTTTTCTCTCCCCAAGATAATTTTGTACATGGTGCAATCCCCTTCAAGTCTGAAGACTTAAATCTCGGATTCAAGTCTGAAGATTTAAAGCTATAGTCCATCATTTGCAGCCATCCGAAAAGTGGCGTAATTACTGTTGAAAAACAAACTTGGTTGAAAGATAGTAAGGGAACTAAACTCCCTGTGAAATTATTCTTTCTGGGAAGCTGTCATTTTGAAGTAATCAACGAAAGAAGGCATTTCCAACGGTGATTCTTAAGAAGCACCGTAGGAAAATTTAAATTAGTAGTTGTTTTGTTATTCAGCGCAGCGCGCACAAGTATTGGAACGACGCACACGCGCGAGCGGTTGTTATAATTCGTCGGATCAGTGCGCGACGCCGCGTATAGCTGCAATTCAAAACAATTCAAAACATGATTCAGTAACTTTTGATTTGAAATTGAGATCTTAGAATGCTGTTTTTCTCGGAATGTACAGCTGAAGCTTAGCTGAAACTTCATCAGGTTAGTTGCTCAGTATCCTTCATTAGATTTTGAACACTTTTGTTGCTTCAAACGAACAAAATGCACAAATTACAAATGATGGACTATAGCTTTAAATCTCGGATTGTCTGGCTTGAAACCATATCTACTTTTCAGAATAAGAGAGCTTACCGTCTGAGGATGGTTTCGGTACAGGGGGTTGCTCACTAAGCTCTTCAAGTACATTTCGTATTGATGCTGTCATTAAAACAAAGAAAAAGAAAACCATTCCACAGTGAGGTTTTCATTTACAGAAAATCAAGGTTATTACAGTCAATACTGAATCCTGGAGAGCGTACAGCAGGAATTTATGAACTGATGATGGCAATTTACTGGAATTAAAAAACTGAAAGGACACTTTCATTTCTTCTAGTTATGTGTTGCAGCTAGGGGTGTGCATCGGGACCAGGCACCCGAGCACCCGACCGCTGATGCCAGAAATCGGTTCCAGTTTATGGGATCGGGTACCAATAACCAACTTTACAAATTACTTAGTAACTTCTCAGACAAGTAAAGATTAGAGGCTTTGCATGGTGGAGATACTAAATAATGAAAGGTTTGCGGAAACACCATGTGCGAATAATTTCTCAACTAAGAGAATGGTTCTGAAAAGAACCAGAGGTATAAACTCGACGTTCCGGTCAGTATGCTCTGACCGTCTTCAGGAACGTTGAGTTTATACCTCTGGTTCTTTTCAGAACCATTCTCTTAGTTGAGAAATTATTCGCACATGGTGTTTTCCGCAAACCTTTCATTATTTAACTTCTCAGACAATGAAACAGAAAGGTTTGAATGCCATGTGTTAGCAATTTCCAAAATGAAAGCGGGGACACATGGAAAACCAAAACAGATTTCACATTTATGTGTTTAACATGCAACAGATGACACTCGTGACAGTTTCAGTTTACACTGCAAAGCTATATAGCTCTTCAGACAACTTCCGGGATTTGAATTTTCGGGTTGGGTTTCTTTTAATACCTGGTACTCATGTTTTACTTCAATAGGGTGCCCTGTTCCCGTACATGCACACCACTAGTTGCAGCCTGTTGCATCTTGATACACATTATGGGACATTTCTGACAAAAAAATCTCACAAGCCAATTACTTGAATCCTTTGCTGGCCATTTTTGACCCTGCGATTGAACATTGTACCTTTGTATATTTCTTAGTCAACTGTATACATCGTCACTGTTTTCACGAAGAGGCGAATTTAGTATTTCACTGTCTGAACAAACATTCGAGATTATCGCGTTTAAAGTTGGTCCTTTTTTTTCATTTGACAATTTGAAACTTAAAGATGCATAAAATATGCAAGATTTAGGTATCAGAGGAAAGAAGAGATTCTAATCTTCCTAAATGTAGCAAACTTTAAGCAAAATAGGTGATTAGTTTTGCAGAATTAATCAAATAAGAAAAGTGGCTGTTCGTGAAAACGCAAAAAAAACGACCAATTAGCAAATTCGCCCCTTCGTGAAAACGCTAAAGTGAGTATGCATTTTTGTACAGTATGCGCAGATTCTGCCCCACTGCGCATGTGCCTTGAACTTCGCCCCTTCCTGAAAACGTTTATTGCGCGCGCCTGAAATTCATCTCTTCGATGATAACGCGTCATTGTATTACAATGTATTTATTTACTGAAAATTTATTAATACCATAGAGTGCAGAAGTTTGCCCCTTCGTGAAAACGCAAAACAGCACTTGTGGCAAATTCGCCCATTCGTTAATTAGGTTAATTAAGGTTTTAATTAATTTTTTGAAAGTATAGCCTCACCAGGTTGTAGATATTCATATATTTATTCATTTTCACAACAACAATTTTTTTTTCGAAAAACAGATGATTTTCATGAAATTCGCCCCTTCGTGGAAACGGTGACGACATAATTGGATCCAACATTTTCCGTTTTGGCAAGAATGCAAGTGCAACGGTTATTTTCTTGTGCGTTAAAAATTAGAGTGCAACGATTTTGTATCGCTCGGATAGGCCTGAGTAAAAACCTTTTGTGCGTTCACTGTTACTAAATTAAAGTTAAGTTGGCGCTAGCGGTACTTTCCTCGCCATCCACCGCTGTGACCCGGGTTCGAATCCCACCTAAGTCAACATGTGGATTGGGTGTTCAGTCCCTGCCTGAGTCTGTGGATTTCCCCAGAATGTTCTTTGGGGTTTTCCTCCCACCTCTGAAACTGTAATTTCTTCTCATTGTCTCCTCTCTACAGGTTTCTTCAGGCTTGCGAGCTACAGTGCCTAGGGCGCTTTTGAGGAATCCTTGGTTTCATTACCCAAAATAAATAATAATAATAATAATAAAATAAAAAAAGTCCACCCCCTGAGATACCTACAATGCATTTAGCTCTATTGCTTCAGAGCTGCATGTCAAGCGTGAATTGAATATAAATATAGTTTCATTCTCGGTATCTGTGTCAGTGGCAATCGTCCTTTGTTAAATTTCCTCCCGATACTCAACCCATTATTAATTGCACCGAGAAACTACGGCCAGAAACGGTTTGCTATAATTACAGACCCTTTTTGTTCCACATGTACATACATACATGACAATAGCGTGTACTGTGTAGCTGCAGTATATTGCTGAGCTCCGCTAGTGCATATCTCTCTATATCTATTCCGTGTTTACTGTTCGTTTTATCAAGGTTAGAGCAACTCAAGTTTGGAGATCCATTTCCTCTGACAATTTCCAAGGACTCAATCATTTTAATTATAGAAGGTGACTATAGATTGAGTTTATTATACGGTAGGGCCCTACTGGTACATGTACATGTACAACGTACAAAGAAAAGCCGAGAACGAAACTCACCACTCTGCACATTGTACAAAAAAATACAGCAATCATGCATGCGTATACCACAGGGTGAGTCCAAAAAAAGCGGAACCCTAACCCCAACAATGATATTTCATATTTAAAAAAAACATGTAGCACCAAAAATAACAATGACTGGAAAGCCAATTTCATAAGCTACTTTTATATGAAAAAATAACTGAAATTGCTCAATCCGTTCAAAGAATATCACCATTTCAACACAATGACCATAAAACCTGTCTCGTTCAAAAAATGCGATTTCAAGAATCGTCGTCACATTTGTCTACAAACATCACCAGCGATAAAACCTCAGTTTAAAAGTTAACAATATTCAACAAAGTCCTATTGAAGGCCCGCCTTTTTTAAAACAAAGTGGATTTTATAAATCATATTATTTGCCTTACCAGGGTTGTTAATAAAGATATTGTGTTCTACAGTTGTTGACAGTTGTTGAAATAAGTATTCTGTGTCATTTGCTTTGTTGTTCCAAACAATTAGAATACACAATAAACTGTTTGTTTTAGGGTCATTGCATTTAAATGGTGATATTCTTTGAACGGATTGAGCGATTTCATACTTTTTTTTTCCATCTAAAAGTAGTGTATGAAATTGGCTTTCCAGTCATTATTATTTTTGGTGCTACATAATTTTTAAATATGAAATATATTTTTGGGGGGTTTGGGTTCTGCTTTTTTTTTTACTCACCCTGTATACTATGTAAACATGTCCATGTAATGAAACATTTTAAACTGTTTCAGCAATTCCGGTGAAACAGCTCATGTTTTGGTTAAAATCTCCCCCCCCCTTCTTTATCAGACTCTTATCCATAGGATTTTCATACACTTTTTCTTTTATACATTTTTGCACTTTCGCAAGTCCGATCGACTTCAAACTTGGTAGACACTTAGACCACCACTTAAAGATGGTCATGTGACGTTACATTACAGGTGCATTTTCAAAGCCCTATATCTTCTGAAGTACAAGTCCGATTGGGTTGAAACTTTGTAGGTGCATAGACAGGGATGTGTTATAGGTTAAAATGAGATTGCATGAGACGTTTCCGAAGAAGTTAAAGAATTACAAATACAGTAAGTAAAGTCATGAAAGTAGAATTTCTAAATATCTGTTAATCGTACATGCACATGTACCGGTATGATGACTACATGTACATCACTGCATTGGAAATGTATGTATGCACATATGAAAAATAAACAAAATAAACTGGGAATTCAATTCTGGCCAACATGATCAGTGTCTTGTATACACTTTTCTCTCTAACCCTAACCCTCCTCAATCCTCAAAAATCCTCCTTGTGATTTTTGAGGATTTTGGAGGATTGAGGCTGAATGGTATTTTTTCAGAAAAGGATTTTGGAGGATTGAGGCTGAATGGTATTTTGAGGCAGGACTGTCTGACGATTTTGAAGGATTGAGGGGGCTGGGTACCCTTCATTTGAACATAAGTGCAACGTTTTTGGATGAGGAGGATTTTGGAGGATTGAGGATGAATGCATTTTGAGGCAGGACTGTCTAAAAAGTTTGAAGAATTTAGGCGCTAATGTAACATTTTGGAGGATTTTGGAGGATTGAGGATGGTTCCTAGCAAAAAGACCTAGGGAGTTAGGGTTAAAAAAATATATAAATAAACGCATTCCATATATACATGTAAGTACACTGTACAGTCAAAATCCACCATTTCGTTTCAATCCAGCCTCAAAATTAAGGCTACCGGAGCCTGTGCAGGTACATGTGTGTATCCATATGTACATAATGTATTCAACAGACTAGATGACTGTGTGTGTTATGCAATGGGCAAAAGTCGATTCTGGTAACTGGAGCAGAAATTTTGTAACAAGCCAAGCAGCGCCAGACAGACTGGTCCATTACAGAAACGAGCAATTCTCACGATAGGCAATCAAACTGCTGAGTTTCAGATGGTGCCTGGCAAGCGGCAAAAAGCACTTCCAAACCAACAAAAAAATAATATAAATGAAACTACTTCTCTCATTGTCCACCAGAGAATAATCAAGTTATTAGTCACGCGCGTCCTTCCGAGCAGCGCATAATTTTACTGGTGCTGCAAAGTACCCAATTTCGTTGATTGCAAAGGCACTTCTCTTAGCGTTCACAGATGCTAGCCAAAATGTGAAATGCCTAGGAGTGATAGTCCTAGCTGTTTCGATCAATTTTAGCATCAGACACAACGACACAACTTTCTGGATTAAAACAGTCAGCTGAAAATTCCCTGGACACTATTCTAAGGGACGTTTCCTGAACATTCAACATCTGAACACAGCGCAGGAAACTATTGGAACATTCTTTGTACTACATAGATCCTGAATACCATGTGAAGTTATAGCATCTACAGCCAATTTCACAAAACTTGATGTAATGTCGTAACTCCACTTACGCCAACTTTTAGTGCATAATGTTTGTAACATTTCACATTACACAACATTTCAGTTACGACACTTTTCACCAACGTTTCACAGTGCGTAAGTCCATAACTAAACGTAACAAGTTATGGCATAACTTATGCCGTCAATTCATTACAAAATGGATCATTTCGTAATTTCATTACAAAACTCGATAGAATGTTTAGTGTGCAACTGCTCAAGAAATATGTTACGTAAATCCTATGAATGGCCTAAGTTATGGACAGATGTGTGTATGGGTTCTCCGTTGTTCTTCTTGGGCTCTATTTGATCGTCAACTGAATACGGGATAGCATTTTTTTTTCGATTCAAATATTTGAAAAATGTGACCGATCTGGAAATGGTAGAGAAAACCATCCATGATGTTTTTTTGGTTAACGCATAAGTTGCGTGGTTTTATTGTATGTCAAATGCCACACTTTTGTTAAAAGCCACTTTGGCGCATGATTTGATGGCTTCCGTGAGGAAAATTAGCTCAAATTTCTCCTTTAAAATCAGTCAAATATCAGCCATTCTGCTACAGATTCTTCACATTATATTAACCCTCCTGCTATCTGAACAGTCAAAGACAGTCAAAAGTCAAAAAATCAATCCTCTTCCCCTGCCATGCCTTTTACACAGGCTAGTCACCAACAGTCAGATCATGTTTCACGCGAGCACCGTGACCAGTCAAATTCAGTCAACAGACAAAAGCAGGCAAGTGGTAGGCACAGCTGGCTTATCATTCACTACAGTCAATGCACAGCTGTATCAGGTTACATAAACAGTCACAGCCAGTCAATCCTGCTTTATGTACATGTAGGTTCGGAGCTCTGAACTGCTAAAACAGTCACTTGACTGATTTTGACTGAAAGGGCAATTTTGCACAAAGCGTATGTTTGCATAGGGGGGTAACACTATAAAACGAGTGCAGGCGCATGCAAATCCTGATTGTCAGCTAGTTTTAACAAGCTGGCACATGTACATGTAGGTGCAATGTAAAATCTAATATTGAATTTTCAATCAATTCCAATTTGGAATGATGGATTACTAACTTATTCGATAAAATGCACAGCCATACGTTCCTCCGACAGCTGTATGATTTATCCAGGCTAATTTACACATTTTCAAGAGGCAATCTTCAGATGTCATGAATGTAATATATACTAGGGCTCACCATTCTCTTGGGTAATTGCTGAGCTCTCACAAAAGCATCTGGCGTCCTTGGGAAATGCGCCAAATCCTTATCGCGGTGGGCCCTGAATGTTCGTCGCCTTTGAAGGTGGCTGTAGGGAGAAAGAGAAATACATGGAGCAACTAATGTAATGAAACAATAAAGACAGGTGTGGGATTTTACAATTTCATTAACTGCAAATTCGTTTCTGCATTATGTATCTTTCTTGTTTCAAAAGCGGAAAGGCTTCAATCAGTTGTCAATATCAAATTGTGACATTCAAACATGCACAATACGTTCATATTCAATGAGGGGTTTGAATTCTTTGTACAAGTTGCAACCACAGAGATACATGTAGATATTAAATTACTAGAGCACTAACTCCTTATTCTTACGCGCAGAGACGCTTTGAAGCCGTCCTGCACGCAGACATTTGGAATTAATGTGCGTGTTTGTAGAACATAATGAAATGTGATGGAGTGAATTTTGAAAGTGTATTCTAAATGCAAACGTACAAGTACAACATACACAAACAACTGTTAAAAACGTCTTGGCAAAAATCCTCTGCAGGGGATACGCACACGCGCTTGCATTGTACATGCATGTGCCGAGCAAAATGAAACGCTCATTTACTGATTGTGCGTTTCGGTTCTGGGCGTATCGGCTTCGATAACACATCTGTATAGAATACAAACGCAGATATGCAAATAGCCGTACAAATTTTGGGTTTTCCATAGGTTTGTGCACATGGAGTCCGCACTCTACCAGTAGTAATTCAATTTAATATAGCTCTATAGCCCTTTTCACACTAGAGCCTCTCAACCCAACTCAACCCTGGGTAAACCCAGTGCCACCCCAGGTTGAGTTCTTGATTTTTGAAACCCCGCATTCAACCCCCCCCCCCCCCCCCCCCATCGTTTCACACTTGTTTCATGCAAATCAAGCTTATCATGCTCAGTAACTACTGTTTTGAACCCTGGCGAGACTTTCAACCCGGGTTGAAAATCTCAACCCTTGTCTGGAGCAGGGTTGAGTTCAACCCGGGACGAAATCAATCTCGGGTTGACGCAGGGTTGAAATTCTTCCAGTGTGAAAAGATACATGTTTTCAACCCTGCATCAACCCTGGTCAACCCCGAGATTTGTCTAGTGTGAACAGGGATTATGGTTGCAATACTCTCTCGAGTTGAACAATAAACTTTGATTGAACTGGACATGCCCATGCAGCTGAATGTGAAGTGCTAAATAAAGACTGCACAAAGACTGTTTGATAAGATAATCCCCCTCCCCAACATGCCTAAGGAGTGGCTTAAATACAGTTATTTTCTGATGGGTTTGTACAACTGTACAACCAGCCCGAAATAGGGATAATGGCTATATTTTAATAAGCTTTTAAAGAACGCCTCCTTTGTAGTGTTTATGGCTTGAGGTGATGATGGTTTGCATGTTTAAAGTTAGGGTAGATGATTTGCCATTTATGCATGTTTTTCGTTTGAAGCATCAAAAGTGCTCAAAATCAAAAGATGGGCGCTTAACAACTAACCTGATGAAGTTTCAGCTCTGTGAATGCTGTATATTCCAAGAAAACAATATTCTAGGATCTCAATTTTGTTCAGAAATGGCCGAGTCATGTTTTGAATTGTGCCCCAAATCAGCATCCGGGACACGTTCTCATTCAGCCGATTGCAGATGCGCAATGTCACACACATGCGCCCATGTGTTCACGGATTCGCCGAATTACAAACGAACTACTAACAGAAATTTCCAAAAATGTGTCACTTGACGCATCTTTGGAAATGGCCTTCGGGTATTGTTTTCTTCAAAATGACAGCATGCCAGAAAAGGTAATTTCACAGGGAGTTTATTGCCATTACAATCTTTAAACCAAGTAAGATTTTCAACAATAACTTTGTCAGTTACTTTTTGGATGGCTGCAAATGATCTACTCTACCTTAAAAATGCATGCTTATCACCAAATCCCACAGTATAATATTAATAGGGATAACCAAAACTTTCAATCAATGTCACCATACATGTACTCATTTACACATTGTACATGTATTATCACAATAAACAAAGAAAATCCACAAGAGCAGAATTCAAACCGCCAACCTTTGGAGTGTCCTAAAAGTGTCGGCTACAGTATGTAGCCTGCTCTAGAGATGCAGGTGGTCAATGTACATGTATTACATTTCAGCGGCTAATGTAACGCGAAGGATATCAAGTCGCAGCATCTTTGACGTTTAGATTAAATTACATTTCCAGATTTTGAGCTTGGTTTGCATGTACATGACAGTTACATGTAGCTCTCATTGCAAGAGAGCACGATAACCGTGTCAAAGCAAAGTAATCAAATAGGGCTCGCTCAATGACGGCCATCTCTGTAGGAGAACTGCAACTGCTTATTTTACGCAATCAACCATGTCAACCATGCATTGCGCAGTGTTGAAAATGAGCCGAATACGCACGCATGTTGCTCGAAATGTGTTCGAAATACGACGCAGCCGATCACGTTATGCAAGTTGACGCTCAAAATGCTGATGCACATGGATGGTCTGTAGGAAGTGACGTCATTTGACCGAGACCTATAGAACAACTACAGAAACAGGCTTGCCGAATTATTCTGGGTCATGAAAATGTTAATTATGATGACGCCATCAACGGATTAAATATCCCAAAGCTAGAAATTGAACGCAGATCCTCCGGTACAAATTTGGAAAAAAAGTCATGTCATCAACTTAATTTCAAGATATGCTGCCTCCAGATAAAATAAATTGTAAAAAATTGTGGTCGAGTAGTGGTCATGCCCTGGTTATCCCAAAATGTCTCACTGAAAGATGTAGCAAATCAGCCACCCCCTCACTATGAGAATCGTAAAGTAATACTTTTTACCTGTAAGCGTCAGTTTATGTTTTAGATGTTATTGAAGATTTTATTTAACCCTAATCTTCCCAAATCCTCCCAAATCTTCTTTACCTGGTATATGGAAAAGATGTGTGGCTGATTTTGGAGGATGCACTTTGTCAAGGTCTTGCGCCGGACCTTGCGTTATGCTCAGCCGTGCATAAATTCAGGTCTGCATTATACTTGAAATCCTCCGCACTGCTCCAGGATGTCACTGGCTCTGCCTCAACATATTGACAGTGATTGCTGGAGGATTTTGCAGGATTGAGGCAGTTTGGTCACCCTCCAAGGACCACACTCAAGAAATAATGGAGGATTTTGCAGGATTGAGGCTGTATGCAATTTTTACGTGGAGGCAGTTGGAGGATTTTGCAGAATTGAGGTTGCATCCTAGCAAAAATGCCTAGGGAGTTAGGATTAAAGGGCTTTGTGTTTGGTTTAACATAAAACAGTTTGTCAAATGAAACATCAAAGTTCCCAAGGCCTGACGAACATACGATCACTTACCCACGGTCGCCGATAGGTATGGCGAGTCGGGCTTTGTACAGCAACATCTCCTCATAAAGTTTGAAGAAATCACTGCTGCGCCGCTGTATTGTCCATATACACGTGCCGTGCTTCACCTCAACGAAGTACCTGGAATAAAGTGGAAACATCAGGAGGAAAGGATACAATGTTACAATTTTCAACATCATCGTCAATTTTCATTAATTAAGAAGTAAATTATGATTACGGGAAATTGTATCTTTTAGGGAGGAATTCCAATAGGGTTGTGACCAGTCAAACATTTTCAACTCTAGCTAACCCTAATTTTCCCTTATCCTACCCCGACAAATTTTTAGTATATTTATGTTTTGGACCACGAGCAATCTATACAGCCTATTTGCGACGGTAAAATTTTGCCTCTAAATAGGAGTTGGGACATTAGGGAGACATTGAAATGTCTCCCTAATGTCCGGTGTCTCTCTGAGGTATAACTTATGAAAACAAAAATGTCTCCTTAAAGGGGCACTAGGTCCTGAAATCCCTGAAAATTTCATGTTTTGGATTGTTTACTTAGCCTATTTCAAACATCTGGTTGAAAGGAAACCAACCTAATGTCTTACCGTTCCCAAAAAAAAGAGGAAAAGGTCTCAGTTGTTTAAATCGGACACAATTAACAGAGAACGAATACGTTTTTCATGTCGTTCTCAGTGTACGATGTACACGTTGTGTGTCTCGGGAACAGCGGTGACCAATCACCAATGCAAAAAAAATATAGTTTCTTCAACGTCCGCAAAAGGCGAACACTTTACGAATGAAATCACAACTTGCATCAAAACAGCTCGAATTTATGGGGTCGCAAAAGTGGACCCCGAAATTCGTTCTCGCATGCATGATACAGGAACAACACAAAAACGGCCAGTTTTGAAAGGATAGTTGTGTGGATGTTTATATCCTACTTTTAAATGTTCTTTCGCATCATCTTGTTCAAAGCGGGTTTCGTAGCCCAATTGGGCTGTTCCAGGACCCAGTGTCCCTTTAAGGGTACATGAACGGGAATTTACAAAATGTATATAGGCCTATACATACATACATACATACATGTCATTCTTAACCCTAACTCCCTACTGTCTTTTACTAAGTACTGGACCGAGTCTGCCAAAATCCATCAATCACACTGCTTCCCATGCATGCTTTGCTTTTAGGCCTCCAGGCCCAAGTCCATCAAATTCCATCAATATTTAGTCAAACCAGGCCTGCAGGACCGATTCCCCCCAAATCCACCAAAAATGGGGGGTATGGATTTTCGAGTTGGGGGGTTATGGGGTTTAAAATACAAAAATTATCATTTGGGGAAAACTTTATTTAATTGTGAAAACAGCAATGAAATGATGAGAAACAAAGCAATAACGCTAACTATTGTTAAACATTTATTTTACACTTTGTGTTTAATTGATTTTCCTTATTTTCTGTTTTTCTGGGATTGTTTTTCTTTCTATACCTGTAAATCTAAACTCCCTGTATTGATTTTTGCTGGACGCTTCCTAGTCCGCTTAAATCAACAAAGTTTTGTGCAGTAGCCCGATAGGCTTATTTTTGAACTCCAACACACAAAACACCAAGGCCAGCGTAAAAGGGACGTGTGAATGGGGTGAACAATCCTGAATCTACATGTAGGTATGCACATGTACATTACATCAAAATACTGCAAAACCTACTTTTGCATTTGGGCATCATGTTGGGGTTAGTAGGGGTCAGTACGTGTGCAATGGTTTGGCAACTGTTTCAATCCCTCAGGTACATTGCAGTTTTATACCTGCTTGTACATATTTGTTTCCAAACTTTTTTGTGTGGAGATTGCATCCTTCATGAATGCACTTTTGGTACTGTATGCAAGGTCTGATACACCGTGCCCTCTGGAGACATGCATACAATAGCAATAGGGAACAAAAGATTGTATACGTCTCCACAGGGCAATTTCTATAGATGAATACGTCTCCACAAGGTTTTCAACTTGATATATGGATTTCACTCAAAAACTGGGAATTTCCAAGGTGGGTTGATTTGTCGCAAATGGAAGAGTTTTAAAAAAGGGATATGTAGTCCGAATTTCAGCCAAGGAAATTAATTCTGGTTAAAATAAGAGCATTTTGAAACTACACTTTCAAACTCGAAAACTTTACTACACGAGAACAAAGAAATGTCTCCACAAGGATACAGGCTGTCACCGCGTTATACAGTCCTTATTTAAGGTGTCTGAATTTTTATCGGTCAGAGGAAGATACCAGGTAGGCTGACCCTTCAAGTTTGGCAAACTAATTATGAAATCAAGGTCAGGATCTGTATCATCTGGTGGATGATTTATAGATTAACCCTTCAGTCACTGTAGTGCCTGATACCACCTGAGCTCTCTATGGTTTAATTGATTCTTCAGTGAATAAACACAATGTAATACAATGTAGTACATATTGGAAATCCCTTACATGTTTGTACATTTCTTGATTTCTTCTTAATGACAGCAAGCCAGATGGAATAATTTCACAGAGTAGTTAGAACCAGTAGGATCTTTAATCCTTGAAGTAAGATTTTTTTGGTAATAGGCCTACACATGTACCAGTAATTTGGTACGGTAGGTTACTCTTGGGATAAATACAAATGATCATGTACCGGTACATGTATGCCTTGAACCAGTTCGCGCCCGGATTATATTTGCTGAAAATTTTAATTTTCCAAAAAGGCAAGATATAGCAGCCGACTTTTGTTACACAGCCAAACGCCACAAATACTGATTCGCAAGAATCATTTCAACAGTAATTGTACGATATTTCTTACCGCAACCTCATATTTCTCAACACTCCGGGTGTGCCCACGAGTGTAAATTGTACCACAACAGGCTGTGCACGACAACCAAGTTCAAGTAAAACACACGGTCTGCCTCCACAGACTTCTCAGACTTTGTGTGTGTGTACAAAACAAATGGGGGATTAGCGTGTTTAGACGTCATCTGGAGGCGAGTCGAGGCACGCTTGACGTTTTAACCCGGAAGCCGTGGCTGTGCATAGAAACAGCCAGATTGTGTTAACGCGTCATCCGATGCGAACTGGTTAAGCCATTTTTCTAATGCCTAAAACCCAAGCTCAATTGTTGTCCAGCATTTTTGTGCTTACAGGTTAGGGTTGAGGTACTGGGAGGCTGAGACGCGTCCACAGTCTACCACAGATACTTCCAGCTTCTGGTGGGGCAGGAACACCCCTCGGCCGACCTCCCGGAATCCCTTGGGCTCAGAGTGGGTGCTGGCAAAGGACCGGATGTTAGCAGCTGCAAAAAAGTACAAATATGAATAAAATAAAATGAATGATGCCAAGATATTGTGCACATCTATCCCATAGTTACATGTTCTTCCACCCAAAAGTACCGGTACATGTACGCAATTATGCAAGTTCCGTGATAAGTTAAATGCCTATAAAAATCAACAATTCTCTTTTATACTAACTCCCTACTGTCCTTCACTAAGTACTGGACCACGTCCGCCAAAATCCATCAATCACACTGCTTCCCATGCATGCTTTACTTTAGGCCTCCAGGCCCAAGTCCATCATACTCCATCAATATCTAGTCAAACCAGGCCTGCGGGACCAAGTCCCCCAACCAAAATCCACCGAAATGGGGGGATAGAGTTTGATGGAGTTGGGGAGATGAGTGTTTGGTCGTTAAACCGTTTTTCTGCATAACAGTTCAGTGTTTTGTGAACAGTTTACATGTAGTTTCACTGTTTAAATAATATTGATGCATTTTATGTATTTTACTGAAGCTCTCAGTGTTTTCTTTTCACCTCAGTGAGTAAAAGTAACAGTAAAGTCTGTCATGAGCCAATGTGGCCCATAAGGCTGGCGTTTATCTCCGGTTTCAGAAGCATGAAATGACTGAGACTATTTCTACTCCCCCTGGATGGGATGCCAGTCCATCGCAGGTTACTCCTCAGCTAATGCCGGTACCCGTTTATACTCCTGGGTGGAGAGAGGCAAGTGGGGGTGAAGTGGCTTGCCCAAGGACACAACATATGGCCAGCAGCTGGATTCGAACCCCTGACCCTCTCATCATGAGTCACAAACCCTAATCATTAGGCCACCCTCAATAGTGCGGGAAAATGTACTTTAATAGGAAAGTGGATAAATGTTTGTAAATTCTTTGTCCATGTCATACCAGTACTTGCAGATGTGGCAATGTGACTACAGTGTATTTAATATTTTTAAAATGTGTACATACAATGTACACATGTACATTTAGAATTCCCTGCATATAAATTGTAACATTTTGTAGGCCTACTTATCACATAAATTGTAACATTTTTGTACCTTGTTACGGAATGTAACAATAAAAATACTGCCAAAACTGATTTCTTTTACGGTACTTTCTCTTCAAAAACAGAATAATATATCAATTTTGCTTTTTAGGGAAAATCTTACTCAGTATGTTTTATCCAATCAACACCTTATCATGGTTCATCACACAATTATAAAATTACACATTATTCATGGCAGTACGTTTTTTAATCCTTCTTAGTACCATAAACAGCCCAAAATCATTCATTTGCATACGCTGCCCCAAAAAAATTCATATAAAAATGTGCATTTCAAATGTATACATAAAATTTGTATCAAAAGACTGTTAGAAATGGAGGCATTAATGAGTACACGTAATGCATTTTTGGTAACAGAATGCTTGCTACTTGATGATGTCAAGTACGTGAATTTTCATAAATTAGCCTGCCAAGGTGAAACTTCATCATTGTGCAGTTCAGTCCAAACTATTCTGAGCACAAACCAGGCTATATCTGGTTGTTGTTGAACTTCCCAACCAATTTTGAGCTCTTCAGGTGTACAAAGTACACGTACACCGTGATGCCAATATAGTTGTGCACACATAAAGTGGGCGAAAATGATAACACATTATCTATTTCTGTGTACACTAAACCCATCAGAATCTCGTCTTTGTTATTGAATTGAACTTTTGGCCATTAGTGTAAGGCAAGTACGGGCTGGGTTCTGTAACACATTACATTCTCTGCAAAGTTGCCCTTTCAGTAAAAATCAATCAAGTGACTGTTTTCAACAGTTACATGTAAGAGAGCTCGAAAGCCCACATAAGGCAGGTCTTACTGGCTGTAACTTTGATACAGCTATGCTTTGACTGTAGGTGATTGATAAGCCAGCTGTGCCTACCAGGTGTCTGCTTTTGTCAGTTGACTGAATTTGACTTGTCACGGTGTTTGCTTGAAATACGATCTGACTGTTGGTGACTAGGCTGTGTAAAAGGCATGGCAGGGGAAGAAGATTGCATTTTTTTGACTGTCTGTGACGGTTCAAACAGCAGGAGGGTTCATTTAAATGCCCTCCTCTTGTTTAAAAGGTGAAAAAGTCACAATTCACTTCCACTTCCCCTGCTAACGGTACTTTCAACACAGGGGGGTCATCAATGGTCAGATTACATAGTTAGTGCTACGTACGGCGGGTCGATATCGACTGGTTTTGACCCGTGGGACAGTCCATGAGAGGTTGGTCACCAATGGTCAGATTACATGGTTAGTACTATGGTGGGTCAATATCAGTCGACTGGTTTTGACCCGTGGGACAGTCAATGAGAGGTTGGTCACCAATGGTCAGATTACATGGTTAGTACTGTGGCGGGTCAATATCAGTCGACTGGTTTGACCCGTGGAACAGTCAATGAGAGGTTGGTCACCAATGGTCAGATTACATGGTTAGTACTACGGCGGGTCAATATCAGTCGACTGGTTTTGATCCGTGGGACAGTCAATGAGAGGCTGGTCACCAATGGTCAGATTACATGGTTAGTACTGTGGCGGGTCAATATCAGTCGACTGGTTTTGACCCGTGGGACAGTCAATGAGAGGTTGGTCACCATTGGTCAGATTGCATATGTAGTTAGCACTATGGCGGGTCAATATCAGTCGACTGGTTTTGACCTGTGGGACAGTCAATGAGAGGCTGGTCACCAATGGTCAGAGTGAATGTGGTTAGCACTATGGCGGGTCAATATCAGTCGACTGGTTTTGACCCGTGGGACAGTCAATGAGAGGCTGGTCACCAATGGTCAGAGTGAATGTGGTTAGCACTATGGCGGGTCAATATTAGTCGACTGGTTTTGACCCGTGGGACAGTCAATGAGAGGTTGGTCACCAATGGTCAGATTACATGGTTAGTACTGTGGCGGGTCAATGTCAGTCGACTGGTTTTGATCCGTGGGACAGTCAATGAGGGGCTGGTCACCAATGGTCAGATTGAATACAAATGGTTAGTACTATGGCGGGTCAATATCAGTCGACTGGTTTTGACCCTTGGGACAGTCCATGAGAGGTTGGTCACCAATGGTCAGATTACATGGTTAGTACTGTGGCGGGTCAATATCAGTCGACTGGTTTTGACCCGTGGGACAGTCAATGAGAGGTACCAGTACCACAAGTAACTCATTGTAAATGCATTGTGGATTACAATATTCTCTTGGTGTTTTTGAGGGGGGGGGGGTGTTTTTCTTTTCTTTGGGGGGCGGGCTCAGATAATTCACAGTATAATACTAGGTAGTTGCTGGTGTATTTTAAGGGTTTTTTTTAAAGTGGAGCGGGGCTCAGATAATTCAAAGGATAATAGTTGCTGATGGATTACAATACTCCCTTGGTGGTTTTAGGGGGGAGGTGACTTTTTTAGGGGGGGGGGGGCTCAGATAATTTACAGAGCAGAGTAGTTGCTTGGTGGATTACAATTCTTCCTTGGTGTTTTTTTTTGGGGGGGGGGGGATGGGTTTGTTTTGGGGGCTCAGATAATTCTCAGAGGAGCCACAGCGGTTTTGACAGGGATCACGAATGATTCAGAAAATACCAGCAGGTTGGGCATACATATAGTACCAAATTGGATGAGTACAAGTATTTTATAGCAAATGAAATGAAAGGATGAATTTTTTTTTCACAAGAAACTGACTGGAAGAATAAACAAAAAGTCAAACAGACGAAGCCAAACAAATCATGAACTCACTTGGTGTGTCTGTGCTGTCCAGCGGGTCGGGTTCCTCAATCCACTCCCAGTTGTCCACGGCCTGGCTGGCTCGGTCCGACTGATCGCTGAATAAGGACCCAGTCCGGTGGAAGTCCTTGGGCCGACCGATAGACAGGTGCCCTTGATTCTTGGAGTAGGCCCGTACCCTCTCCCCCTCCGGTTCCTTCTTCTCGTCGTAGGAACTTGAAGACGAGTCAGTCTCTTTCCTCAACCTCTCCAGGACGATCTGCTCGGGGGGCAGATGCCTGTCGACCCCGTCTGCGCAGACTTGCGAGGTCTTGACCATGCTGATGGAAATGGCTAGGGTCTTGGACGATCGCTTGGGGGCTGCGTCTGGGTCGTCATTTTCCTCTTCGGCTTGCTCCTCGCTAACGGCCGACATCGTTGAGGGGTCTGTTTCACGGTCCTCGTCACTGACGACCGTCTCCAGGGTGATGTTCTCAGGTTCGTCCTCTCGCTTAGCATCATCGTCGCTGTCCTCTGCATCATCGTTTCCTTGCTCCTTCCACTCTGCTCCCGTGTCTTGAAGCTCCTCTGGCTGGCGCCTCTCTGCGTCAGCTCCACTGTCCTCCAGTTCAAACTCCTTGTCATGCACTCCTCTTTGCCCTTCATCTGCTTCGTTGTCAGAATCTCCTTCTCTAGCGTCCAGCCGTTCTCCATTCTCTTTCTCCCGAATCTCCTCCCCTGGCAAACTGTCCCCAAGCTCCGCCCCTAAAATGCTCCCAATGATACCCTCTTCATCATCTCGGTAGTCCTTTGTATCCGTGGTAACGCCTTTATTGGAGGATGCTCCCGAATCGCCTCGCCTCCTATACCCATTGCCGTTGATGACAAGTTTACGGGTGTCATCGTCGTTGCTTTCCTCCTCCTCTTCCTCGTGAGGTTCGTCGACCTCGTCCCGTCCGTAGTCGTCACCCTCGTTCTCGTCAATTTCGAATGTGCCATAGTTAGCGATGAAGTCAGCGTCCGCATCGAGGCTCTCTGAGCTGTCATTGGCTGCTATGATGGGATCCGAGTCCCGATCCATCATGAACCAACTTGACGGTGTGTCTCGATCACCAGCTAACTAGCATGTCTCTGTGTAAAAACAAAGTAAATCAAAATATAAACAGGCTGCAGAGAGTGGTTGTCTGAGATTGCATAAATGTACAATATCCAATAAAAGCAGTGAGTGACAAGCCACAAATCAAATATAACTTGACACCTTTTTCAAAGGAAGAGTAGATCATTTGCAGCTATCCAAAAAGTAACTGACCAAAAGGTTGTTGGAAAGCTTACTTGGTTCAACCCTAACCGCCCTGAATCCTTCAAAATCCTCTTTGCCAAAGTGGAGGAATTTGGAGGATTGAGGTTACATGGCAAAAGTGCATTACTGATTTCGTAGGATGCACTTTGATAAGTTCTTGGGCCGGACCTTGTGTTGGTTTTTGCTCAGCCATGCACAAATATAGGCCTGGATTATGCTTGAAATCCTCCGTACTGCTCCAGGATGTCACTGGCCAAGCCTCAACATATTGACAGTCACTGCCGCAGGATTTTGAAGGATTCGGGTAATGATCACCCCTCCACGGACCATATTCAAGAAACAATGGAGGATTTTGCAGGAATGAGGCTACATCCTAGCAAAACGGCCTAGGGAGTTAGGGTTAAAGATATAATGGCAATAAACTCAATGTGAAAATATTCTTTCTGGCATGCTGTCATTTCAAAGAAAACCATAAAAGAAGGCCATTTCCAAAGATGAGTCAAGTGATGCGTTTTTGGCAATTTCTGTTAGTAGTTGGTTTGTATTTCGGCGAATCCGTGAATGGGTGCGTGAAAGCGAAGACACGACACACAAGCACATGCAGTTGCTGTTATTCGTCAGTTCAGTGCGTGACATTGCGTATAGCTGCAATCGGCTGAATGAGAACGTGTCCCGGATGCTGATTTGGGGCGCAATTCAAAACATGCCTTAGCAAATTTTGAATTAAAATCGAGATCCTAGAATATCGTTTTCTCAGATTATACAGCATTCACTGAGTTAACATTTCATCAGGTTAGTTGTTTAAGCACCCTTATCTAGATATTGAGCACTTTTGTTGCTTCCCCCCCAAAAAAATGCACAATTGACAAATGAACCACCCTACCTTTAACACAAATCTTTATAACAGCAAAAAAATACGACTGCTGCGAAACAGTTTTCTAAACCTCCATACAAGAAAAACAAAAGCAGAAATCCATAATTGATGCCTCAGTCACGAGAACAGTGCATCACAGCCAGAGAAAAAAAGGAATTCAGTCATCTACCGTCTGTGCACAATGTGCACAACCACACCAACTGTACTGCCTTACAGATGCGTTTGACAGCAAGACTGCAGTCAGATTTTATAAAACAAAAAAATGTACTTGAACACTTCTCAGGAAATCTGCAATGTCACCGACTGGCTCGACGATTGCCTCACTGTCGGCTTCTACGGAAGGAAATTGATGCCTTGAACAGGATGTTCACAGTGTCACGGACTTTAACTCAACCAACCATAGATTCCGTCAACAGTTCACATGACCGCAACTAACAACATTGTAACATTTTTTTCCAAGTAACCACTTCCAAGTAATAACAGACATTCAAACTTATATTTTTTTTTAAAGCTATAGTCCATCATTTGCAGCTATCCGAAAAGTAACTGGCGTAATTATTGTTGAAAAACATACTTGGTTGAAAGATAGTAAGGGGATTAAACTCCCTGTGAAATTATTCTTTCTGGCAAGCTGTCATTTTGAAGTAATCAACAAAAGAAGGCCTTTCCAACGGTGCGTCTTTGGAAATTTCTGTTAGTAGTTCATTTTTTTATTCAGCGAAACGCGCGCAAGTGTTGACACAAGGCACACACATGCGTGGTTGCTATAATTCGTCGGATCAGTGCGCGACATCGCGCAGCTGCAATCGGCTCAGTGAGAACGTGTCTCGGACGCTGAATTCAGGCCCAATTCAAAACATGATTCAGCAACTTTTGATTTGAAATAAGCCTTTTCGGAGTTCCAACTGCGCATTCGTAACCTGTGACAATGCGCATTGTTTGTCTCAAATGGCCTTTGACATCATCGCGCCACTGACTTTACAAAAAGGCTGTTTGTGCATTGTGGGTACTGTCAAATGGCATTTGAGACAAACAATGTGCGTTGTCACAGGTTACGAATGCGTGCAGTTGGAACTCCGAAAAGGCTTATTGAGATCCTAGAATGCTGTTTTTCTCGGAATATACAGCTGAAGCTGAGCTGAAACTTCATCAGGTTAGTTGTTCAGCACCCTTCTTTAGATTTTGAGCACTTTTGTTGCTTCAAACGAACAAAATGCACAAATTACAAATGATAGACTATATCTTTAAATCGACATTGTACATGTACTTGGATTGGTGTGCAAACCGAATGAGAAGTGAAACTGGTTCCCTCCGCATTTCCTTATCAGTTGCCTTAGTATTTCCTGAGTAGCAACAATATGAACGAAATATGACCGGAAGTACATGTACTGTATAAATTACACTTGAGCTCCATCTGGTGGTGTGTGGGGCTGTGACTACTGTAGCATATGGCTATTGCAACTGGATTAATGAGGGAATAGTTAATAATTGACAATTGTATTTTAAATAGAAAGCAACCTAAGAGTTGGTTTTTATTCATGATTCATAAATACCTAAGACAGTTTACCCATTCCCATTGGTCGACGGCCCATCACGTGGCTGGTATCAAACGGTTGATAAAGAACGGCTGGCTGGTCTTAAACACTTTTCCAGTGTCACATGAAATGTGGACTCCTATAAAATCCGATGTCAGTACCATTTTATTGGTTGAACGTTCACAACCGGTACATATGGGCGTGTGCAATACTACCAGTGAGTCAGTATTTTGCAGTCCTTAATTCACACTACACCGGCACAGCAGCATTCTGCACCACATCGCGCAGTACCCGCGATGCGTGCGACAATCTCCATAAGGACGTGTTTACGACTGACTCACGAGGGGGCCATACCGGTACCATGGCATAGCTAGAGAGGTGTTTTGAAAAACATGCAGTACAAGTTGCTGAACAAAATCGTTGGAAATTTATAATTTTTGACTTGTTCTGACTTTTGGACTGAAAAGTTTTGATTTTATATTTACCGAAAAGGTATTTATGAATGGGAATAAATAAGTGCTTGGCCGGTATTAAACACTATGTTTAAGACCAGTTGGAGTCTGGATTATCAGCATCCAGACTCCCACCCGTCTTAAACATAGTGTTTCAAACCGGCCAACCACACATTTATTTCCATAATAATATTGCACAGATAATGCACCAGCTCACAACAGAAGGGCCCGTCGAAGCGTGGCTGTCTGCACACACTTAGTGGTGGGAGAAATCGGAGATTTCAAAATCCGGTTTATCCTATTTTTTTTTTTTTTAACTGATTACCGGTTATCTGATTTCACCGAAAGTTCCCATCCAGCTCACAGTCATGCACAACAAAAAAGTGATGAGTGAGATGCCACATGCAATGCCCTCCCAATGACTGGGTATAGTTTGCAGGATTCAATGACCACTGGGCCTTTACAAAAACACTCCAGAGCTGTAATGATGAAAAAATGGATGGGAACTCTCTGATAAGTCGTGGGCAGGCTATTCATATACCAAGAAGACTACTAGCACGTGAATGCAGTTACAATCAGAGACCATGGAGCAAATTGGGGGATGTTCCAGTTGTTATCTATAGCCTGTGCCACAAAAAAAAATGGAAGGCTGAATTTGTTTTAAGGCTGGTTTCGAATATATCCGGATTCCAAAATCGAAACCGAATAGTGGAATTCAAACCATAGCCCTAACAGTCCTGAATCCTCCAATTTGAATACGATTTTCAGTCCTTCTGATTGGAGGCGTGTGATCACAACCCCACGCCATCACATACCTAAAAGCTTCCTGAGAAGTGCGAATAATCACACGCCTGAATCCCTCTATACCACACACCTCGGTATACATTTACGACATAATTATACATAATTTGTGAAAAAAAAAGTATGTTGATGAAGTAGCTTGAGTAACTCCAGCTTAACAAGCTTATCAGGCATTGTTAATCTGGAGTTACTCAAGCAATTGATGAAGAGAAAATGTCTTGACTGTAAACCAAGATGAACATTTTTTTTTCTTCAAAATACCAGATTGTTCAGTCCCCGCTTGGACCACATAATCGCACGCGTAGAAAATCACACGCCTAGAAAAAATCCAGGTGTGCCTTTTCCATACGCCTGTGATTTGCAAATCATCAGGACTGGATTTTGTATCCTCCCTAGGGAGTTAGGGTTAAATAATCTGGATATAAATCCCACCACTACACACACCTGGAAACAAAATTGAAAGACCTAATCATTACCGTTAATGTAGCAATGGGGGGGGGGGGGGGAATGACAAATCCATGAAATACATTTGTAATCAATTGAGCCGCATGGTCGAGGGCCACAGGATCTTCGGTATATGTTTATATTTGCCTATAAAAGGCGTCCCTTAAAATATTTATTTCCCTTAAAATACTTGAAGTATTATAGGCAAAAACATTTCACAGTAAAATCCCAAACAACCCAGATTTCAAAAGAGATTCTTTAATAGTAATCCTGAAATTAGGAAAATCCTAAGAAAAAATCCTAAAATCAACAAAAATCTTGACAAATCTCACTCACAATTTGGATACAGTGTACAAAGTTTTCTTACTTTTTTTTCCAATTGATTCCCTCTACATGAAGTAATTTCTGAGTGTTCACAGAGACGTTTACTTTGGTTATAATCATATAATCTTGAAATTTTTCTTTCTATTCTTTGCGGGCTGTGTGAATGAGTAAATATTATTGGCAGTTAAACATCACGTAAATTGATAAATTATGTACCTTCTCGTAAACAAACAGTACATGCATACAGGCTCATATTAATAATAATATATCCCAGTTGAATCAACATGGCACAACCAGTAAATATCTGCTCACAAAATGATTGCTTAACAATACACAATACATGAGTGGTACTATTCTTTTACTACATGTACCCCGGTATGATCCAGCTTTCTTTT